GGAAAGGACAAACCAGTAGCGATATTGTGCCCAAATTCAACAATTAATAGATGTCAAGTGTCCCACAACAGATACCGATAACACCTTGAGATTCTCTGGTTGCAGTTAATTTAGTGTGTTGGGAGGATCATTTGTGAGATAAGGTTATTAAAAACCATGAACTTTAAGTTGTTCGGGCTTCGCAAGGCCAGCTTTGGTTAACCACTGGCAGATGTTTTCCCTCTGGTCACCCTGGAGTTGCAGCACTTCACCGTACTCGGGATGTTCAATCACAGTGCCATTGCAGGCGAACTCCTGAGATCAAAACACCAAAATTATATTGCTATACAGACACACTAATATATGCCAAACAGATGGATACATGATAACAATGGAATTAGTTTACATTATTTACGATCTCTGGATTTTGGCTTTATTTGCTATCACAAGGCCTAACATATCCAATCTCCAATAATCTGTCACTTAAACATGATTTTACTTACATTTATTAGTCATGACACAAGCCAGTTCATGTTATCAGAAGTTTAAATAAATCACAAACCCTGTGACAACTATTCCGCACATTACATGATACTGCTTGATAAAATGGTTTAACTATTTAACTACATGGACACCTTACTGTAGGTCTATTCTCCAAGTCCAAGATAACGTGTTATCTCTGGCAGTCTTTAATGCCCAATTGACAGTAAAGTCTGTGCCACAGATATTTTATATAGCACAATTCCGACACCTGGAAAATCAGAGGTGTGATAACCAGGCTCTAATGTGTGCAAATTATTTAACATTGTATTCTAACCTTTTTACATGCTCGAACAATTTTCTTCAAGTCATACTCAGATGATAGACCCTGTACAGTAGTTAAAGTCTTTCGACCATTACGTTGCTGAATTCTTATATGCACGAGACCGTCTTGGACATCATCATCTGAACCCTTGATTGCATCAGCAAAGGGGTCTGAAAAGAAAAATGAACGTAAGTACAGAATTACTCATTTGTACAAAATAGTAGCTATTCTGTGAAATAAAAAGGTAACATGAAGTAACCTCTGCAAAGTTTAACTGGCTTGATCCTGTGAAGTGGTCTTGGAGGTCAGTGGTATTAACACAGGACATCAGTCACAGGTCCCCACTATTTTTCTTATATTGTGCTACATTTTGTTGTATGTTAAAACTAATTTTGGCATTCTGTTAGCAAATGTACTTTGTACAGCAAAACTGTAATAGCATAGGGACTTATGCATTACAGCTACTGCTTTTCACAAAAGAAAGCAGTGACAAGTCTGTTTTATTGGTTGTTAATCCTCTTTTACCACAACCTTCAACCAATAAATCCTGGGATCATAGTTCAGTAAGAATCAGAAAACAAGACATTTACATATGCTAACAGCTTTAGAGGCAGTACTTTCCACAGTAATACACACTCCAACAGGCTGCATGCCTCTATTTTGCAATAATATATTCCAGCAATGAAAACATATTTGTGCCACAATAAACACAAAATGTATTTTAGAAAATTCCTGTTATGAACAACAGTATGTATATTTTTCAACATCAGGGTCAGACAGATGCTCAATCCTATACAAATCATAAAACTTGATCAAAGTTCAGACAGACAATGTACTGAAGTGGTAAATATGTGAAACAGAAAGTAAACCAAGGTACCAGTAAGTCATTTTTAGAGACTATGAAGAACAGAGATGGTGTGGCAGTGTTTGAAAATGTAAAGGGTTCAGAAAAACACAGACAGCAATCAATTATGATTAATGGAAGGTGTATAATTGTATGGAAACAGGGATTCTGCTACCTTACTGCACCACTTCCTTACATTTTAAAAATCCCAAAACAACAGCATGTGAAAGACAAAATATCTACTTCCAATCAGCAAAACGAGATGCTGCCTTTATTGTACAGTGAATTTACATATATAACACTGTTACTGTGATAGGAATATGTACTGGGGGGGATTTATATTTGATACTTAAAGCCCTTTGCATGCAACAAGAGTATATATGTTAGGTTCTTAGTAACATGTATTGCAGTCCATATACAAATACACATTATACAAGAACTTATGTTAGGTTGGCCCTTGTTCAACTTGCACATAAGTTTGAACACACTTATAATTCTCTTTCTTGGATTTCTGTACAAGTGGTTTGTTGATGGTGTCATGATTTCCTGTTAGTTTTTGAATATAAATGTATGAGTGTTACATAGTGGAGTGGAATGGGCATGGAGAGGGAAAATGCAAAGGTCAAGAATGAGAGTGAGTGGAAGGGTGGCAAAGTCAAATACTGATTCCAAAAAAGAAAAATTGACAGTGGAACCACAGTTCCGGAGAATCTGAGGTAAATACGTCTTTGTATTTAAATTATATTTAGGCAATAAATACAATGAAAGGAAGTTTATATATTACCTTTATTCTAAATATTCCCTTTATACATGCTTTACAATTGAGTAAATAGTTTAAGACATTGCTTAATTAACTATCCCTCATACGTTCAGCATTAGTTTTTGGTATTTTTTTGGGAACTTCAGGTTCATTATATAATACTCCTATTTTGTGATATGTAAAATCCAAAAACAGATATGGAAAGATGCTCCATCCTCCTACAAGCCTAATTCTCGTACACGAGTTCACAAATTCAGATGAAAACATTAAATGTGATGAACAATAATAATAAATAGGAATCCCTTACCTCAAACTTTGTTCAATTTAAGAGACCACGATGTCCACCCGCAATGAACAATTTAATTAAAACTAAAATGGAGAGAGTGGAGGGCAGTATCACAGATTCTTAATAATTCTTATATAAGATAAGTAATTGTGATATTCTAAAACGTTTTTAACAGCACAATATTATCTACTCTACGACGCACCTTCTACAAGCGATTCACAGCTCAGCTCTTTCCGCAATAACGAAAGCGGATTGTTGACGGCAGTAATGAAACACAACAATGCCGAATAATTAGCTTCTTAGGTAAAGGAGTAAAGCATTGTTATGCACGCAGGAGTTCATATAAAAGCTAACCATTGTCGGTCCATATTTACACATTGTTGGTATGGATCTTACACATTTTCCTAACGCTTTTTTGCCGAACGACCCTTCCGTATAGACGTATTTACGTCAAAAATTCCCTGCGTCTGAATCGTTTGAAAATATTCCCATCTCTACAGAAAATGATGCATTAATAACGGCATCCAAGTTCAATGCCCCCATCCTATTGCTGACTTTCATTATCTAGAACGTGGGAGCACTTCTAAACGGGGCAATACATCTCTACCTTATTAGCAGAAAACTTAAATAATACATCACATACACAAAAACTGTACGTATGCCGACCAATTTTTAATCGGAATAGCACATAGTCAACGATCAGTAACCTTCAATGAAGTCGATTTCGTAAGCCGCGTCCTTGTAGCACCAAACACGAAATGTGCATTCAATTTCTGACCGTTTAATACTCAATACATAGCACCTTGCCTGACTTACCACTTATAGCTTGTAATCGACATGATACGTACAAACACTTATTCAGCGAATGATTAAATTAGGACAATGGCCTTCTTCGACTCACAGCAATTTTTGATGCGCAGTAATCCACTTGCCGCTGGACAAAAACCCTAACATCGAGTAACAATCTTCACTTTTAACAAATACAATTTTATAAAAACTCCTTATTTCTCGGAAATGAAATCGCTGCAATAAGTAACTGTACATACACCTAAACCAACCCAGCTGCCATTTTGTTGGGATCTATAGATTCACTAGTTCACATTGCATTAAATTAAACTCACCGAATGTGTTCAGATTCTGGATGGACATACGACAAATAAGATATGTCACGTTTCAATATACACCTGCAAAGTGCAAAAGTTACAGACGATGTTCTCAGATGAACAAAATAATTACAAAACACACAACAGAACCTTTCACTCCACTACCTTGTTCAGCGGAAACCCGGATGCTTCGTGAATGACGTGTACAATGACGTCATTGCAAGGCGGAAAAATTGTTAGTGACTACTGTCATCTAGTATCAAAAATTTGAAGGAAGCTGAACTACCTACAAGGTACAGATCATCGCTACAGATGTCAGCAGTAACCGGCCGCAAAGGAAGATTTCCCAACCGTCCAAAATCTACTAAATTTAATTGCTTTCGTAATTCAAAACCATTCGGCTTATACAAATCACAAGATTCACCCGTGTTAGCTAACGATATTATAATAATCACATAAAAACCAAGATTCCAATTACCTATTTACATACATATCGATTGTATGAACCCAAATGTTGAAATATGATGTGGAATTAAGGAAAAGCTGTCCCACATGCCACGTAGGCGCTTCGGGGGGGGAAATCAAGATATAACTCTTAGTCACTCTCATCCTTGCACTCGATACGGCTGAGTGGTCAGTGCCATGCCCAAATCATGCTTTACTCCTGGGAAAGCAGCTCAGTACCCACTGGATAGCAGGCTGGGTGGGAAGAATATATGAAATAGGTAACAGAAATACAAAACACTATAAATATTTCACATAAAACAATGGTTTTCATCAACAGAGTAAGAGGACCATGTATTTAAACATCTTTTAATGCTATATTAAATTGTGCCATTTTATTCAAAAGATGTTCGAGTCTTGAACAAAATGGAATCTAGTAACAAACTAAACCAATTAAACAGAGAAATGTACTACTTATTAAACCTTCATAAATAGTGAAAATATGGAAATATTTTGCAAAATACAGCAATGTCAAGCGGAGGTACTATGTAGCTGAAGAAGTGTTTTGGCTTGGGCAGTTTGTTGCTGAAGGTACTTCTTTCATTGGACTGCTCCTGGATTCTTGGCCTTCATCAGGCATGGAATCCTGGCAACCAAATATATTATCAGCTACCTACTACAGTATAGTTTTAGTACAAGTACTCAGGTGGTTGAGACTGGAGATATTTTTGGAGAGATAGAAGTTTATGTGGACGTATATACATTGTGTTTCTTGGCACATTCCACGTATCTATTATTACAGTCGATAGTCAGAATGTTAATTCCAATTTATAGGTAGTGATTTTAATTGGTTGGTTGCAGTTTTAAATTATTGCTCAATATTTGGCTTCTTAATTTTTTCAGATACAACCATATCTGAAGTAATATAATTAATTATACTTGCAGATACCAAAGACAACTTTGTTTCGTGAAAAAGTTAGATTGGTAGAAGCCGGAAGACTCCCGTGGTCATGTCTGCGGAAACGAGATCCTGATATTGGTGGTTTCAAGCAGCACAGACTTCGTGAAGCTGTAGCAGCTTGTAAAAAGAGAAAGATGTCACAAGCTGTGGCTTCTGTCACGTTTCAGGTACAACAGGATACCACTGAACTATAAGAGTCGGTCAACCAAAGATGAAATTAGTGTTTAGAAATTATCTCTTCATGTCTATCTGACTGAAAAATGTGTTGGGTGTCACTGTCATTGAACAACTTGAGATGTTATTTTATGTTAGAGATTCTAAAGTTAAGCCCATGATAATACTTCTGAACATTGTTTAGTCAGGATAACTATTTTGTTTAAAAATTTAAAAAACGTCTTGTTATATCATATACAGTAATAATAATGTAATGTATTATAATTTGAAAGAAACCATTCCAATGTCATTACTACTGAATATTTTTATATTGTATGGTCAAAAGGTTTATAGTGATGTGTGAGGTTGACAATACGAAGATAGTGAATAGCAGGGTATTTGAAAACTAACAGTATCTGATTTCTAATATTAATTTGGTGCATAACTAAAACTATAACTGAAAGATTACTTTTAATCTAATGATCTTAAAGGTGTGATTAAGAAATTTCAGATTATGAACCTCATGATTAAGAAATTCACACTGCTTGAGAATTTTTTTAAAAATGTTACTTAAAATAGCTTTCTTCCTTCTCTAAGAAATACTGTGTGGGTGTTACAGGTTCCAAAAACTACAATCTGGCGGAAGCTTCAGCAGGGTTCTAGGCCAGAATCAGCTGAGCCTGAAGAGAGTGATGCTGTGGTCCACTTGCAGGAACGCACAGAATTTTCATTTAGTGAGGTTTGGCACAACAGTATTAAGAATTGTTTAAAATCATCATATGCCAGAAGAAAATACATGAGTATGTACAGAAATGAATATTTTTCTAAGGCACTACATATCATTCAAAATTTTTGGTTCTTGTGTTGCAGGTCTCAACACAAATTCCAGTCACATACATTGATGAATCAGACTTCTCTGAAGCTTCTCTCATCATTCTCACTGCTGGTAGCAGTGAAAGTATGGAAGAGCAGATTATAGTTGATAGGGTAAGTTGAATATCTCTAGGGAGTTTGTTAAGAAATGTACTTCATACCCTACCTCCCCTTTCTCACTTCTTGGTTCATTTATTATGTAAAAGACTTGCATATATTTTAATTTTTACTACTTTGTATTCAAAACTCCCTGCATATTTGAATCCTTTTCAGTGAACTTAGCTATAGTACAGACTTGTTAATTTGAAGTTCAAGGAATCAAAATTATATTTGTTTCTATTTAGTAAGAATTAAAATAGATGTCTAACATAGTCATCCATCTGCCTGCACCTGACAAATTTCATGTTTTCGTTCTGATTGAAGTATCTGAATTGCTGTGTAAATGTCATGAGTACTTGAAGATTTCTGTCTTCTGGGTTGTTGCGCTGTGTAGTCTGGTCGATGTTAACCAACGTTTCAGAGGTCATACTGCCTCCGTCATCAGGGCGATGAATATAATATTCATCGCCCTGATGACGGAGGCAGTATGACCTCTGAAACGTTGGTTAACATCGACCAGACTACACAGCGCAACAACCCAGAAGACAGAAATCTTCAAGTACTCATGACATTTACACAGCAATTCAGATACTTCAATCAGAACGAAAACATGAAATTTGTCAGGTGCAGGCAGATGGATGACTATGTTAGACATCTATTTTAATTCTTACTAAATAGAAACAAATATAATTTTGATTCCTTGAACTTCAAATTAACAAGTCTGTACTATAGCTAAGTTCACTGAAAAGGATTCAAATATGCAGGGAGTTTTGAATACAAAGTAGTAAAAATTAAAATATATGCAAGTCTTTTACATAATAAATGAACCAAGAAGTGAGAAAGGGGAGGTAGGGTATGAAGTACATTTCTTAACAAACTCCCTAGAGATATTCAACTTACCCTATCAACTATAATCTGCTCTTCCATACTTTCACTGCTACCAGCAGTGAGAATGATGAGAGAAGCTTCAGAGAAGTCTGATTCATCAATGTATGTGACTGGAATTTGTGTTGAGACCTGCAACACAAGAACCAAAAATTTTGAATGATATGTAGTGCCTTAGAAAAATATTCATTTCTGTACATACTCATGTATTTTCTTCTGGCATATGATGATTTTAAACAATTCTTAATACTGTTGTGCCAAACCTCACTAAATGAAAATTCTGTGCGTTCCTGCAAGTGGACCACAGCATCACTCTCTTCAGGCTCAGCTGATTCTGGCCTAGAACCCTGCTGAAGCTTCCGCCAGATTGTAGTTTTTGGAACCTGTAACACCCACACAGTATTTCTTAGAGAAGGAAGAAAGCTATTTTAAGTAACATTTTTAAAAAAATTCTCAAGCAGTGTGAATTTCTTAATCATGAGGTTCATAATCTGAAATTTCTTAATCACACCTTTAAGATCATTAGATTAAAAGTAATCTTTCAGTTATAGTTTTAGTTATGCACCAAATTAATATTAGAAATCAGATACTGTTAGTTTTCAAATACCCTGCTATTCACTATCTTCGTATTGTCAACCTCACACATCACTATAAACCTTTTGACCATACAATATAAAAATATTCAGTAGTAATGACATTGGAATGGTTTCTTTCAAATTATAATACATTACATTATTATTACTGTATATGATATAACAAGACGTTTTTTAAATTTTTAAACAAAATAGTTATCCTGACTAAACAATGTTCAGAAGTATTATCATGGGCTTAACTTTAGAATCTCTAACATAAAATAACATCTCAAGTTGTTCAATGACAGTGACACCCAACACATTTTTCAGTCAGATAGACATGAAGAGATAATTTCTAAACACTAATTTCATCTTTGGTTGACCGACTCTTATAGTTCAGTGGTATCCTGTTGTACCTGAAACGTGACAGAAGCCACAGCTTGTGACATCTTTCTCTTTTTACAAGCTGCTACAGCTTCACGAAGTCTGTGCTGCTTGAAACCACCAATATCAGGATCTCGTTTCCGCAGACATGACCACGGGAGTCTTCCGGCTTCTACCAATCTAACTTTTTCACGAAACAAAGTTGTCTTTGGTATCTGCAAGTATAATTAATTATATTACTTCAGATATGGTTGTATCTGAAAAAATTAAGAAGCCAAATATTGAGCAATAATTTAAAACTGCAACCAACCAATTAAAATCACTACCTATAAATTGGAATTAACATTCTGACTATCGACTGTAATAATAGATACGTGGAATGTGCCAAGAAACACAATGTATATACGTCCACATAAACTTCTATCTCTCCAAAAATATCTCCAGTCTCAACCACCTGCTACAGGCTTGATGGTTTAACTCAGTTTTATATAGCTGATTGCAGTATTTTAATAATCGGCTGACCTCATATATGTATTCATCACAGTTGAGGATGAGAATTCTTATGTTTTACAGCAAACTTTAGTTTATGCCGGGATGATTAATAATGAATTAAATTGGATAAGGAAAAAGTTATCATGGACTAATTTATGGTCCTATCCTGACATTTGTATAAAAGGACTCATTAAGGATACCTAGTTTTTGGACTAAGATTTCAACCCAGAACCTTCCAACTATAGAGCAAGTGTTAACCACTTTGCCACAAGGTTCAGTCCATAGTCAGCACAAAACTAAATGATATACAGTAGAACACCACCTGGGGATTGATAAAAAAATGGTGTAAATTATGGGAAAGTGTAAATATCAGGAAATGAGAAAATTATAAGCTCAGTGCTTACCTTCACCATAACACCTTACTGGAATGTTCAGCAGATTAAACAATGTATGAATATTTTTACAACATATAATGGTTAGAATCTAAGAAAAGTATACAGTATCAAAATGCAAGTTAAAATCTGTCAAAAATTACATACATTTTGCAGAGAGTATACACTCAGCCAACAGCTACAACAACAACAGTTATGTTCAATTTAAAGCAATCACACATCAAATGCTAAAATAATGTTTTCAGGATGGTGACTAAGTTGTCGTCATTGAAACTAATAGTTAAAAATAGTACCCCCCCCCCCCCAAGAACATTATAGCCACAATATTAATATAAAATGACACCAAGGCCAAAAGGGAATATCAAGATATATGCATAACTGGAGATATGGTCTAACAACATGCCTCTCTCTCTTAGGTCCAAATATTCTTATCAACACCTTGTTCTCAAATGTCCTCAATTGACCTCCCTCCCAGGGTAGAAAAAAAAAATTAAAAAACTCTTTACAGCTATATGATTATGTTAAGAGAGTCTGCTTATCACCTGAAACTGGTGAGACACTTTGGTGAGGTTTTCCCCTCTTTCCAATGCCTTTACTGCTGCCTGCTTCTTATCCAAGCCATATGACTGCTTCATCCTGGCTCGACGACTCATTGCATAACTACCCATTTCCTTCTGTACACGTCGCCAAAGTACCGTCTTTGGAATCTTAAAGAGTTCAGCTGCCTGCTGCAAACTTGCACCACCTGCAACAACAACTTAGAGAGTGGGAAGGATTCTACTACAGATTATATAATGGAGCAGATCCTTGCCAGGAATATAAAGCAGAGTGATAATTGCTACCCCACAAAATTCAAAATGGAGTCAACTTACCTGCAACAGCTTGAACTGCAGCTTGTACTCTTTCACCAGAATGTTCCTGTCTCGTGATAGTAAGAGGAATGCCTTGTGCTCGAGCTCTTACATACAGAGTTGAGCGAGGAATGCGATATGTTGCAGCTGTTTCCACAAGAGCTCGCCCTGCTCGAAGGTCCTCTAATGCTGCCAACAACATGTCTTCACTGAAGAAAGAAAACTTCAACAGGAATGATAACTTATTTGAAAGCTAAATTCCTGCAGAAATAGCTATGGTAAAACATAAAATCAGTCCAAATTATCATCAAGAGAAAAGAAATTTCAAAGGACAGTCTTCCTCACTCTTGCACACATTCCAGGGCAAGTGTAATCCTTTGACATGTCAAATACCATAGAATGAAATGCTAAAGCTGTGTTAATAATACTGAAATGAAATGTATAGGGCACTTGAACAAATAAATAAAAGGAAATACATCTTCCTTACTAAAAACAGTATTCTGAACAGAAAACAACAAAGAGAAGTCAACAAAATTTCTACTTTAAACTGCCAATTTCACATAGAGATATGCAACTGATGAAATATAAAAATTATTGACTTCTGATTATAGTCATACAATGACTAAAAATTTGATTACGTAACCTCCAAAAAAGAGACAGAGAATGACCCACACTGTGTTGAAAAGCCACAGATGATGATAAATGACTATAAATATGTTCACATGAACGTTGTCTTCTAAACCGAGTGCCATAGGTGAAATAAAATACACCCACCTACATATCACACAAAAATAATTGTTTTGCATTACATCTGTGCTACAACTGAAGACTTTTTTCTCAGACTCTGCAAAAATTTTGCAAATGCACAGAGACAGTACGAAAGACACTCTTCAACAGCCCAACCATTATGTTTATAATAATTCTCCATGAGGTATATCAGAACATGAATATTTTTACACATTTTATAACTGACGAAGATTGTCCTACACACTTAGAAGCACACTAAAAGTTCACATTGTCATCCAGATTTTACGTTGGTAAAAGAAATGTGCTATGCAAGGATACAAATATTCAACAAAATGTCATTATGGGGAATAAGCTCCATCTGAAATGCAGAGTAGTACTACTGTTACTTCCTCGATTTTAATACACACATCTTCAAGTTTTAAAATTTATGAAGTCAGGGTGGATGCAGAATCATTTTTCCTGAAAACCTATTACTAAATCATGGTGCCTTAAAATTGAGGAAATATAGTAATTAAAATTCTCAATACTAACCTGTAATACTTCTTACTTGTTTCCCTTCTGTGTTTCTTCTTCTTCTCATCTTCATCTTTCTTATCAGACTGTGGTTGATCCTTTGACTCCTAAAATAATATTTAACATTATAGTAAAATATAATAAAAATACTACAATGTCACTGTTATACTTCTGTTAAGCCCAAAAGAATCTTACATCAACTGAGGTTGACTGCTGTTCATTCACATTTAAAATTCAAATAATTTTATTATATTAAATTAAAACTGAATTAAAAGTAAAGGACCTCTGTATTTAGTCCTCTACCACGATGATGTTCAGAGTGGCAGTTAAAGCTCTATTAGACAAGGTCTCTTCTCTCCATAACATTGAACCAAAATTTAGTTTGAATTTTTGATCTCTTTCTCTCTTTCCTCTCATGCATGCTACATGCCCAACTTGTCTCAATCATCCTTATTTTATGAACCTAATGGTATTTGTTACAGAGTACAAAATATGAAGCCCCTCATGCAATTTTCTCGAGTTACCTGTCACTTCATCTTCTTAGGTTCAAATATTCTTTCTTAATAATAGAAAAGTAATACATTTGGAGTGAACTTGCCAATTTTGTATTTACTGTAGAAGGCTCTTCATGTACTCTTTCAGAAGCTTCCACAAAAATATCTACTGATTCTGTCTGTGACACATCTGGCAACATATTCAAACAATGATTTGACTCTGGATTTCCTTCCAATGCTGGAGATGACGACAGAGTTTCTGGATTAGATTCATCACTATTTTCATTTCCCAACATGGGTAAGTGGTTACTGACCTGATATAATAGAGATATTTTATAATAATGAGCTGAATCAAATAAGTACAGAAATAATATACATAATGAATTCACATACATAAGATGTCCCTTGATTAGTAAGGCTCAACTGGTGATCTGCAGCTCAGTTTTACCCATACATAAATTCTAAATCAACTCTGTACACAGTGATCTGAGATTCTTATGATACTGAGTATAAATATGGCTCTCTTCTGGGTTGTAGCACTGTGTAACTTGGTAGAAGTTTACAAAGAATCTTTGAAATGTTAGTCAACTTCTACCAGACTACACACAAAATTATTTCATATGCTGCCATGCTTAATTTGGAACTATATATATTCAACATATAAATACATAAGTTAAGAAGAAGTAGTAGTAGTAACAACTTAACATATAAAAGCCACAACATAAATTGAAATTCAGTACTTACTTCCATAAGGCCCCTTATTTGCAACACTTCAGCTATTTTCAGGACAGATGAAAAATGATCGGCACCAACATTTAGCTCTCCACGATATATGAATTCAACTATCGATCTTACATCATCAGAACTCATTTCACTTAAAATTATATAGGGATGAGAATCTTCTGTATTGGTTAAAATATCCTGAAAAAATTGAATCCTTTCTCATGCAGACTGTGATGTAAAAAAACAAGAAATACTACACTGCTGTTTTATGGAAAAAATTTTATGCAATTATATTATTTTCTAGGCATGGTACTATGAATGAGATTTAAAAATTAACAAGACACCCTTTTCATAATATCTTAATATCCCTGTGGATAAATAAAGATGAATAAAGATGACTTTCTTCTGGGATATTGTGCTGCGTAGTCATGTAGAAAATGATTGATGTTTCAGAGATGCCCCATCATCAGTCACCTTGATCAAGGAGGTAGTAAATACCTCTGAAATGTCAATTAGTTTCTATGAGACTGCATGGTGTAAGATCCCAGAAGATACTCATCATATTCATTACCATGAGAATGAATCTCGGCAGGATGAATAAAAATTAGTGAACACATGGATCAACAAAGTGAAGATGGGGAAGACAATAAGGGGCTGCAATAAAGTCATGAAAGGGAGAACTTTTAAAAGGCATGTTGACTGAGAGGCAAGAATATGATACCAGACTAAAAAGATAAACTTTCAACAAGTATGACCATACCTGAAAATAGGGGCTACATGCTGATAGAACAATACGATGAGCATGAATTTTTTGACCCTCAGTACATAAAGTTACATCCACCATAGATTCTGCTTGCAGGAGCTGTGTAAATATTTCAGCCACATGGCTTTGATAGTTGTTCCACTTCAAGCAGTAATGCTGAGGCCTGGTACTCATGTCAATCTAATGGGCAGAATGCAAGACACAATCACTCATTCCACAAAATATAAAATTACAGTTCCTTGTATCTGAGTATTTTTGTTCTCAGCAAATATAACAACTGTCCATAACTCCAATGCAAAGAATCGTTACGCCGTGTTTACAGTGCTGCACCCTTTGAAGGATTCATAAGTAAACACAACGGCGATATGACAGAAGTCCAGTCGGTAAAAATGTTAACTTCTATCCATTTGTTGAAAGTCTCCCAATAAAATGAGAGTTCCTTAAACAATGACATGATTATAATATACAATTCATTACCCCCTTACTGAAATGTACTGAACCATAAAGTAGTCTGATATAATACGATACAATATTAAAATAACACTTTACGTGTTATTTTAATATTGTATCGCGCTCGGCTTTCATAATAAAATTAAATCTTACCGTCCCACAGACAAAACAGAAGAAAAGTTAAGTCTGGCTCGCAACCGTAACATAATGGTCATGCAGATATAAACTGCTTTGTGATCAGATCAAATGGCTCATCAACAGCCGATGACTTGTTGCGAAATCTTCTGTGAATAGGAGTTCTTGTGAATCATGCCAAGATGTCTCCACATACGATGTATGTTGCTCCAAATAAGGTGTAACAGAATACTGGTGAGTGACTGTAACGTTATTTATTGCCCAATTTATGGGTATCTGTGATAACAAGCATTATTGGAATGTTCGGACCAATTATGGAATTTTGAGAAGCGAAATGTGGCATAATTCTGAAAAGTGTTAACGTGGACAGTTTGAAAACCCATCAGATCACCTAATGCATTTGAATTAATTGTTATTTTATATTTATGGAAACGTACTGATGATCCTTCGAGTTCCGTAAGTCATTAGTGAGTTATTTGCATTTTTTTTAGCTGGTATATTTTCTTGACAAAAGTCATGGAAAGGAAAGAAAGCCCATCTCAACTGCAGAAACAAAGTAAGAGAGCAAAGAAGACTATGAAAGGATTGCAGGCAGACCAGCCATTAGAAATACAAGGACGTTTAGAACTGACAAAACAGATTGCCAGAAAACAGGTTTCTGAGGACAGAGATGTTCAAGTGGAGGCGGGAGATCTCGTACATAAACAGAAGAGACATTTTAAGAATACGTCATATGATAGCAAGTCACATGATAGAAGAGACATTCCTAAGACACTCATCTCAGCTCTACTGGAAGAATTGAATGATGACATAATTGGTGAACCTACTGGATTTGATACAGGTAAACAAAGAAGGCAACATTAATTCTGGCAATACATCTGCCAAAACTAGATACTGGGAATGACTCGTTCAAGTGCCTGAGCACTGTGGGTCCCAACTTTTCGTTGGCTTGATCTATAGACATTCGGTAGGAGTCCTTGGATGAGGGATCGGCCTGTCGCAAGGCCTCTACCTGTACACAGGACAGCATAACACAGAAAAATGCAGACAAACATCCATAGCTTGAGAGTGGGATTCAAACCCACTGTCCCAGCGACCAAGCGGCAGAAGGCCCATGCCTCAGACTGCGCAGCCACTGCGGACCCCAAAAACTAGACACGGTTGCCCAATCCATTCACTGATATGCAGATGTGTATACTGAGCAGTGACATGAATAATGAATGATATGAAGCTAGTATGCAAGAGATGACATATTTATTACTGAGACTAAGAACAGTAAATCAACCTTGTATTTTTAAATGTTCAACCATTAATAACATGGCAACTGTGCAAATATCTGACATGGGAATGACACTAGCATCACTTAAGATAGGGTCCTCTTTTATAGCTGTACATACAAATTCTGTATGAAAAGTTTTGAAATTAAAAAGTATAAGCATGCACTGATGTGAAAATTTGAGAGTATACCCGACAAAATGTATTTCTATGATCATTGATATTTTGTATGGGTCAATGGCAAAATGGATCATTGTACAATATAATGTTTAATTTTCAGTTGTAAATTTCACCATATAGACTGAAGCATATGAAGAAATGTAGGTATCGTAGGTTCTTCCCAGAAATTTTTGCTTACTCATGTGTCCCACATATCAGAGTTCAAGTGTAGTAGAGTAGTTAATATGAACAATGCCTTCAATTTTAATATTTTCATGAAGACAGTGGGTTTCTGCTACTGCCTACTTATAGGAGGATCATCTAATATTTTTGTCATCAGGTAACTGTTCCACTTTGGATCCACCTCCTACTAGTCTTCCCTCAGACAAGGTGTATGTTGAATGTAAGAATGGGTTTGCTACTACACCAAGGAGAAAGATGTTCCATCCATTACATTATACTGAAGGAGACATTATCAATGTGGAAAATTCAAAGTCTGTTGGGACACCTCTTGAACTTGCCATACTTGTCCAGAAGTGGTGCCATCCATTCTACACATTATGTCATGGCTTGCTTGGTGGCATGGCATTATTGCATATAATTCTGGTGAGTCTGAACCCAAACAGATTGCTTAAAATTTGGCAGGAAATTCTGTCATGAGGAGTTAAACACACAATAATGGTTTGAGTGTATATAATCACAATAACATCCTGTCTGGGGCCCACCAACTCTTGTTTGCAACAGTACCAGGGACTCTTTCCTGGGGGTGAAGGTAGCCAGACTATGAAGCTAGCAATTCATCTCGGTGTAGTGTTGAGGTTAGGAATGAGTGGAGATTTATTTCCACTCAGAATGCATTCATAGCATGGAGTTTAGACAGTATTTTGTGTAAATTTCAAAGTAACTGATACTGGCACGATTTAATGTTGAATAAATATGTGCAAATGTTTGTAGAAATGTGGGTTTATATTCTCAGCAAAAATTTGATGGTGAATTTTAATATGTTACTAGATAAACAAAATTAATGAATGACCATTTTGTTTACAAGTGCAGGTGTATTATGCTGGGGACTCCAACTTTGTGTACATGTATACACAATATGCCAGAATATATCAAACTTTATTCCATGTCCTGTGTATTTTCTGCTTCATCTCTATACTGGACAGGTAAGGTTTTAAATCATAACTGTAGGAATGATTTAGTGATTGTGTCCTAAATTAAATGGCATATTGAAATTTTACTATTATGAACAGTATTCAGATCAAATTAGATGATGGTACAGCTTCAAGATGACACACATAATACATAAGAAACAAATCTGGTATCAAGAAGTAGTAACACAAAAAATAAAACTAAATATCATGCAGAATGGAGATTGTACTCACAGAACAACATGATACATGATTATGCACATAACACAGGTAAGAGAATTAATGAATTGAAAACTATGTTAATTATAACTCACTTTAATAGTCACAAGAATGAATTAAACTAAATGAAGTAAATAATATTTTATGGAAAATATATTTAATGAATTTTCTTTCACTTAATATTTTTATGGTCTTGTTCATTTTGATCATCTATATTGTTTCATGAGGTTTCTTTACTGTTTTCATGTACATGATTTCTGTATCTCTTTTACAGATGTGATGCTAAACATATGCATGTTCCTTACTTGGCAGACTTATTTAGATACCATATCACTACAATTCTGGTTCTTGCTGTTTATATGTCCACACTTGTCTTAACCTTTGTGACAACAAAATGGGATGACTGGCTGGTCCTTTCACCATACAGCACATCAGTTAAGAATGTTTCGGTATGCAAACATTGTAGTCAGGACTAAATATAAATACTGTTATATCAGTTATGAAGTGCATGATTAAGTTACAAGTATGGTGGCTTACCTTATTGTGTTGGGATATTTATAAAAGTGGGACTTGAAAGACATGAAATTGTAATATTAAAATGTTTAAAAGAAATAGGGTAGTAGGTTGTGGACTGGATTCATTTCACTCAGGAGAAGTACCAGTCATGAACTCTGTGAATATGGCAATGAACATTAGTTCCATAAAAGGCTGGGAATTTCATGACTAGCTGAGTGACTTATCAAGAAAGTCTGCTTCATTGATGTCGTTAGATTTTGCTAGATTGGCACATTTGTAGAAAATAGGCAGTATATATTTCCAGAATTTTTTTATAAATAGTATTACAGTTTATTTGAATTTTCTATTTACTGTTCTTCAAAGTTCTTCTGTTCATTAACTTTATATTTCTGTGACATATCTTGCATCAAATACATTTTGGTCCACAGAATGAACTGAATGATCATTTTTTTAGCTGATTAACAGTGTATATACATTTATATGCATTTGTTGATTGTCTTGTGCAGGACACTGCAGATGCATTGAAAGTGTGGAACAACCTGAATCTATTTCGCAACATTGGAGCTATTTCAGGATGGGTACTAACTGCTTTCTTTCCAAATGAAGATATGCTGTACGTTTATTTGTGCAATATGATGAAGTACCAGACTGTAACTGCACATGTTGTATCAGCACGGTACTAAGTGTTGGTTAATTTTTTCTAATGGGTCAATAGAAATTGCATAATCAGTTTTTTAAACCTACACAAATGATTCATTAGTTTGTAATGTTCTAATGAGAAGAAGTACGGACCAGAAGACGCATCTGTTTGTCAACAAGCCCAATGCACAATTGTAAATTAACCTTTGAAAATAAATGAAATTATCTGTAATATAATAAAATATTAAATTGCTATACATGACTCTCACCACCATATTCATTAATGAATTCTTACCTCAAGACAGAGCCATACCACTAATCTTAACATCCAGTATCTGTTTCCAGAACCAACTGTTCTGCTCTTTAACCTTGTTAATTTAAATTCACTGACCTTCCTACACTACTTGGTGTGCAACCCAGACAACACATCAACCCTTTAAAGCCCAGTGTTAACTACATGTTAAACCTGCTTTACGTAATTATGGGTTTCATATAAATCTCAGTGTAAACATCAATTATTTCCTTAACAGCAGTTCTGTCATGGAGAATCATTTTATACCAATGAAATGAGAGTAAAAGGTCATACATATAACTAATTACATCTTGTAATGTATATTATCTACATGTTACACCAAACTAATTAAAAATTGTTACAATTAAATATCCAAGTTGAACATGCCTTTCTCTTTTGTGTGCTGTTCAAAATCAACCAAATTTTAGTTTTATAATTGTGGCATTTTGTTTTTTAAAAAGTACTCACTGATACCCACAAACATACAGGTGCTTAAGTTATGAAAGGAAATTTGTCTGCATCCGGACTTATAACCATAATTTAACATTAAGTAACACGACTTACTATACTATTCACACTACATAACCTAAAATTAATTAACATGACAAACAGCAGCAATGTATTTACTTTAAAGCAATGAGTGCAGCTCTACCTACCACTCGAGCCATATATGAACGTGAAGCAATATCATACACCTAACAACCACTACACGATGCAACGACTCTGTGGTGATTCGACCAAGATGTACGTATTGTTACATACAGATTATCCGAAAGATGGCAGAACGCAGTAAATGTCCAGTGGTGGCTCGTGGAAAATATTTTATAAGCGGTATTGAAAAGATCGAAACCAGACATTGCACATTTAAATGTCCCAAAAGTTCGTCTTTATTATGACTTTCAAAATTCAATGAACGTTTTATTTGTGTTTTTAGCAACTGATCTCATTCTGAGTGAAGTACGGAGGTATTTGTAAACAAAAGTGTTGATCTTTTAGCTTAAGAGATAAATGGCGAAGATAATAGGGATTACATAATGTGGGCTTCACTGCTTATTAAGTAAGCTAATGTTTATAAAGCAATATTCTAAATTTGTAAACAAAGGGGCGATATTTGCTTGTGCATGTCTTTTAATAGCACGCTTTGGTGCCGCGTAGGTAAAGATCCACCCACTCCTGACCTCGGGATTATATGGAGGGCGCTAAACCCCGCAGTTTCCAAGGGGTGGTCCCAGATCAGGTATTGACATGGTTGCTAAGAAAAAATACCTGTACTTTCTATACTTCGGATCGAACTCCGATCGTCTAGCCCCATAGCCAGCCACAAATGTAATGGATAATTAAGATGATGCATTCGGTGCAATAAAGGAAGTTGAGATGCATAAAAGACGCAATATGCACATGAGAATAAATAACCAGATGAACAAATGCAACCTCCATACTATTAGTTCATTTCATACACTACGTGCAAAGAAGATACAAACAGGCAACATAAAATGTTCAGCAAAATTCTGTAACTCAGAACAACTGACCTATATCTACATTATTCTTTGACTGCTTTCCTTGACACTTCGTAAACTTTTTAAAGTTGAGTGGAAACTATATGTACACCCTGCTTTAACATTCAGTAATTCTGCATTTATGGGTCTTGTATGATTTTAACTGCAAACAGCAATTATTTCCTTAACCAGTGTTAAGCACTGAATTTTTGTAGAGATGAAGTGTTGTGCTGTCTTTGTGAAACAGACTGAGTTCTTAAATGTTCTTGGTTTTAAAGAGTTACACCTGATATCCATTTTTATTTAAATCTATAAGTAGTCAGGGAATCACACAGACAAAAAGTTTATGATTTCAAATGAATCCATAATGTAGAAAAGTATTCTATGGCTCTTGCACAATATGAAATTTAGTATTTAGTACAGTAAATTTTTTGGATGTTCAAAGTAGTGTAGGCTGATTCATCTATACTGGAGATACAGACTGAGAACACCATATTTAATATTTGCCATTTTTCAAAGCCTATCCATGCAGAACAGCAATGGCACACACAAGCTACAAAAGGTAATTTTATATGCTAAAGATGGTTTTTCAAATGTGGATAATGTCAGAAATTGAAATTTTAAATACCTTTTAATATCATACTCATGGGGTGGAGGGGGAAAAATATGAACAAGTCCATTAAAATTAAAAATGAATTAATTTTCTTCATATCTTAATCCTTTACCCTGTATCTTCCTTTCCTAACTTTGTTTCTTACCACTTAAGCATAAAGAAAGACCATAATGAACCCTCTTAAATATAAATGCAATTATCTGAAGATGACACACAATTTAAAACTAATATAACAATAACTTACTGATCATCATCCATTTCATTCCTAAGACTGCTGAAATTATGAGTGTTCAGGAACTCATTTATTCTTGAGTAGTTTCATGTATAAATATTTACAATAGCCTGATACATGCATTAAGCATCCATATAGCACAAAATCTAACATGCTCTGGACAACATAATATTCCAGTTCATGGAACTGGATGCAGAGATCTATTAACAATAGGGAACGTGTTCACAACAAAAACACTCTTTTATTTTATTAAATGCCTTCACAAGGAATTTACACATAATTAGTGTTCTCCTTGTGTAATATGATCACTTATAACACCTAAAGAAATTTTAAAAAATATTATGAAGTAAAGCCAGCTGCAGATCTTATAAATTACTTCTAAGTAAATCTGATTATAAATAATTATTCAAATGCAGTAACAATTCAATGTGCAACAAGGCATTGACACAGTCCACAACAGAAAAGCCCCATACCTTCCAGTTCTGTAACAAATTAATCTATTACTACTACTACCAAATGTTAAGAGTGTCTCACTTCACACTGCTTGTGAAATTTGTTTTGAAACTCTAGCTGACCAACAGTATTATGAAGGACTCAACACATCAAGCTTCAACTAATAGGTCTAATCTAAATTGATTACATGTTCTTCATATCTACCATGAGTAACAAAACACCTTATGGACCTGTCCATATGTGTTGTATTTTTATAATGGGGCAGGCAGTCTTCATAAGAGGTCATTGCTGCACAACAATGGAAGACACATTGCTGATCAACTGGAGCCAAAGATCATTGTGGGAACATAGTGATGCGCAACAATAACCTAGGTTCACCTGTACTGTGAGTTTAGCAAGAACTGTAAATTAATAATTTTTCAATTTAGTAATCTAATTGTGTTAGTAATTTGCATTGGAACAAATTCTAGCTATATTATTATATTTTCCAGTAATATTTTTGAAGTTTTCACATCGACACCATATCTGTATAAAATCTGTATGCTTACACTCAATCTTCCCATGCTGAACACCAAACGTTTATTAGTTATCACCATAAAACAAAGCTGAAAAACAGATTTCATGAAGCTGCCATGTTGTTTGAACATAAAAAAGTCAATATACTCTTTCAAAATATATCACAGAAAATTTCAGAACCATACTTTTAAAGCTATCAGCATTGCTCCAATTTTGACAGTGCACATGGCCACCATGAAATTATTGACAATAAAAAATTGAAAAATACAAAGATGTAGTGTCATGATATGCATAGCAGTTTCATATAACTCAAATCAGATGGTCCAGAAGTTATTATAGAGGGGCAAATATACAAACATGACGTTACTTTAAGCCTGTATTTTCTTATCAAATGAGGATACAGGCTAGAAAAAGTGTCATGCATTGTATCCTTTACTTTTTCTCCACATGTTCTTCTTACAGCTTACGATAAAAAAAAATTGTTGCTTAGAATTTAAGTTTCCTATACCATTCTTTTCAGCTGCATACTGCAATTGACATGGACTCTGAACTTGCAGTTCAACATTTAACCAAAAGACAATAGAATCTACTGCAGTTAATTATCTCTCATATATGTAGTGTACAAGCAATACAAGATTTTTTTTAATCTGAGTGATATGGTCTCAGAAGAAAGCAATTATTTTGGCTAGTGCACTTAAAGAGTGCAAATCCATAAAAACCATTTGTTGGAAACAGATACTGCTAATTGAGAACTGTAGATGAATGTGATTTAACAAACACATATAACTAATTTCAAAAATTATTTAGTATACTGGAAGACATTTTACCATTAGCCTTCAAGAGAGTTCACAGATGGAGAGGGCCAAAAGGGGGAAAAGTTGCATACCACATGAAATATAAAGTCTACAGTTTTTGCACTACAAGACAAAAAGCAAGAAGTACGTGTAATAATATAATATAAGCATAAAATTATGTTTATATTGTTTGGAATATAGAGTTTATCTGCTTCAACACTGTCAAAAAATACTGAACTCTGATATACATTTTAAGAGAGATCATGTGTACATGAGAGGTGAAATACATGACTAGGATGCCTTTCTTCTAAGACATATTTCACCACTAACCTCTAAAATCAGATAAAAGCTACCATACTGCCCACTACAACGATACACTTAAATTTAACTTGCATATAAAGACAGGAATTAAAATCCATTTGAAACCTGTGTACAAGACTGAAAATTTATTTATGATATTATGTAAACAAAATTCCAGGGAAAGATGGCTGTCTTATGGGTTGTATCTATCATCAGGGCCCTGATGATAGATGCAGCAAGGACTTCTGAAATGTTGGTAAACGTCTGCCAGACTACATGGTGCTACAACTCAGAAGACAGCCATTTTTGGACTCTACACTGTGAAAAAATCAAATCCTACTAAGATCCCAGTAGCATAATGCTAAGCAGATCTATTATTCCAACTTCTTCAGAGGTCTTTAAATCTAAAGATTACAGTATCCTAAGAGGCCCATACAAATGGCAGCATAAATGTGCACAGTAAAAAGAAGTAATGGTGTCCTGCTACATGCGATATAGGTGTGAGGGGTGAGTGGTCAGTGTCATGACCCAGCTGCACTTTACCCCCAGGAAAGGACCCCAGTACCCACAGGACAGGAGGCTGGGTGTGTCCCAGAAATGGTACTGAAGAAAATAAAACTTGGGAGTCAGATATCTGCAATAACTTCAATCTTCTGGAAACCAGCATGGCAACAAGATGAAAGACCCACAAGTTTTGGCATGATTTAATTGCACTTTATAAATGTTTATCAGCACTAGAAAGTTAAAAGTTAAGAATATAAGAACACAAACTTTAAAAGTGAGTCTTATGATAAATTAATGAATAAACTGAAGGGAACTGAAACAGCAGTTGATTGAAACATGGCAAGGAAAAAGAATTTAAATTATTGGAATAACAATTAATTTCATTTTGGATTCTGTACCTAGAGCCTGCATTGCCATTTTGCCACTGTAACATTTTAAATGAACCTTGATCTGTAATATTATGCCAATCTGAACTATTCAGAATTAAAACAAACCTGCAAATCCAAGAAAAGACACAAATTTCAAATGGATGGTATATATAGTATATACTGAAAAAGAAAAGTCACTCTTTTGTGAACTTGTACAATCTACTATACTACATGAGAAAAATTGCACATGTATCACATAACTGATAACAGTTTAACAATACTGTGCCTTATATACATCTTGAATCCTGGAAAAGAGAACACAATATTAACAAATTTGATATACTAATAAATTAAGAGATAGCTGGTCTCGAACTCTGCAGCCTGTAACATTATTAGCTAAAACTATCTGAAATACAAGAATAGAATGGTGCATTAGAGTTTGGAATAAACACATTATAATGTGTTCTTTGCAATTTTACATACTCGGTGGCCTTGTTTTTTTGTTTCTTACTAATACAAATCTTGTTTCAGGGAAATTACAAATTACTTCACCATGCAATTAAGCATGTACTGAAGAACAATACTGATCTAAATCTTGCACAACATCTCTGAAATACAGTGAACCTCTTTTTTCAATTATACTCATTTGCCTTCTGTCTGCTATATCCTATTATCATGCTTATAATGTAATATTTAAATCTTACATCATAAATTATATATATATATATATATATATATCACACTGTACTTAAATTATCAAAACTAATCACTAGTTACATATTAACTGTATTTTCTTCAACTGCAAAAACAAACATAAAACAATACAAGCAGAAATTATTTTAATTTGTATTTCAGTAAATAGGCAACACTCTGAAAAATGTTTCAAACTGAAGTTATGTATTTTAATTAATCTATACTTTATTTCATGTACAAATTAATTGTAAGTTGACATGTCACAGAGGGAATCAATAAAGCATAATTTCAGATTCATGCAAAGTATTCTATATATCTGACAGATAATGGAAAAATTCAATTTGTTTTTAATTTTAAAGCAGCCTCCACGAAGTACCAAAATGTATCTAAATCTATAATGGGACAAGGTCTCAAAATTATGAAGATAAGATAACTGCAGAAGGTGGTAAAATATGAGAACAAAAGAAGCCAAAAAGAAAGGAAATGAATAGATACAGATGAAATGATAAGAATTGTTTACTTACAGCAGAAATGTGATCTATTTTTCAGCATAGACCACCTTCAAATTCGTCATCACTTTGATGAGACTTTGTTTCATTTGATTCTCCTGCAACTGGTTTCCTTCCTTCCTGCATGATAAAAATGTAAGATTCCATCAGCATCCTGCTCAGCCAGTGTTTAACAGAATTCATACATCTAAAACCTCATTTTAGCTGCTGGCTTTATAATATCAAAGTTGTTAAATTAACTACAAGAATGACTACAAGCCAAAACAGAAAGGTATACTGGTTTCGCAAGGCATCCAATGAATGGTTTCAGAGAGGAGGAAGAAAAAAAACTGTTCCTTGGGGAGGGGGGAAGATATATATACACACACACACAATTTTAAATTATTGAACTTGTGTATGTGTGTGTGCCCACTGTTACCATGGCATGGTAAGCATGTACCTCAGCATTGCCAGCAGCTGCAGAAAGGGCTCTGGGTGACACATATGATGGAGCAGCATTTTCTCGGACAGATGGCTTGGGTACAGGCACCTCACCTTCAGGCAGTGGCAAATCTCTAGCTAATCTGGAATATTCGACATCCATATGCTTGATGAAAGGACTGCTGAGAGCTTGCCTGGCTGCTTGGGGATCCTCCTCATCAAAACCCTGCAACAGCATCTCCAGAGTCTGTACCTGTTAGCAAAAAGAATTACAAAAATCAGCCACAACGAAATTTAAGGAAAGGTCACATCACACCTGAAGCTAGTAACATCTGAACATGGAAAATAGAAAGAGCAGATGGATGTGTAAATAACTGTTCTTTATGGTGATACACGATTTTATAAAAATTTTATAATAAGAACATCACATGAAAACTATGTACATGGTATAATATATATATTTATCTTGTTATTTGTAACTTTGGTGGAAATATTTGTTAGTGCATTTTCTTAATTTTATTAGGAAAGGGATGCATAAGTACAAGGCAAATAAATTATCATTATGACAATGTTGTTGTTCTGCATTATGATGCTGTGTGGACTTGTAGGTGGATACTATTTCAGAGAAATCAACACAGTATGATTCTCCAAAATGCTGGTATCTGCTTACAAGTCTACACAGTACCATAATCCAGAAAAACTGTCATCCTCAGCTCTGTAAGAACCTAATATATTACCATAATGCCCATGTATGAGTTCTGACAGAAGCCATAATATAAACAAATGGATTGCATTTTATAGTGACATACAATTTATATAATGCAGTTGGGAGGAACATAGATTGCAGGTGTTTGAGAATAGGGTGTTGAGGAGGATATTTAAGCCTAGGAGAGAAGATGATGGGGTATGGAGAAAGCTGCATAATAATGAGCTTAAAAATTTGTACTCCTCCCCCAATATTGTCAGGGTGATTAAGTAAAGAAGAATGAGATGGGCAAGTCATGTAGTGCACATGGATGAGGCAAGATGTGTTCACCATGTATTGGCTGGGAAGTCTGAGAGGAAGAGACCACTGGGGAGACCTAGATGTAGATGGGAGGATAATGTCAGGTGGGATCTATCGGAAATAGGAGTGGAAGGAGACTGGATTTTACTGGCCCAGGACAGGGTCCTATGGAGGCCTTTGGTTAAATCGGTGAAGAACCTTTGGGTTCTGTAAGCCATCTAGTTAGTTAGTTAGTTGCTTATTAAAAAAATAGTTTTACAGCTGACCTCAGAAACATCACAGCAATTTCCCCATTCTTTGAAAGCCTTCTCTGCAGCAACTGTGTCTCCACGTGCCAACTGTACCAATACCAATGCAACAGCCAAGCGACCAATAGCAGCTATGTTTTCAGACTGCTGGTGCAACCCTATTTCTCTGCGTAGAGCATCAGCTGCCTGATCATACCTGAAGCAAAAACCACAATCTTGCCTTTCAGGGTAAGATAATTTGATTAAAGCATTAAAGTACATAAATATTTTATAAATAATAACTGAAGAAGAGCCACAAATTATAGTTTCAAGTTTAAAATCTTATAACAGCACACATGATCACAAAGAAATTTTAATTTACTGTATGAAACATATAGAGAAACTGTACAAAGATAGGATTTGTCTTCAGTGGCATGATGTTCACACTAAGTTTCATGAAAATCTGTGAACTATTCAAACATTTTGGGAGACAGACAACTGAATGGACACATACATGACATCATAAACCTATATTTCCTTAAAAATAAGGAAATATGGCTGTAAATAATTACACATCCTATAATTATATATAATTTCTTAGTCATTTTACTTTATCTACAGGACTGATCATAATTACGTAATACAAATGCTTATGTCACACTTATCTCCAGAGGAGCTCTGTCCAGCTCAAAGATATTTTTGTTGTCTACACTTACACTTGTTCAGAATGTGGTCCCCTTATTTTTTTATATAGTTGTGTATTAATTTACTGAGACATAGCAGCTCAGTAGTTATAGGCTGGACAGCTAGTTTGAGAGTTCTGGCTGAGTGTGATGGAAATGTTGTAGCATATTAATAGACATATGAAGATGTTCCCCACACATTACCTGTATCCAATGCCAGAGTCAAGAGTGTGGAGCCTTATCTCCATAGTTCTTATTACCTCCACAGAGCTGGAGGCAGTGCCAGTTAACAAAGTTACAACTAAAATAGCTTTCAGGATTATTTTTGATACAAAACCTTAACACCACAATGTGGGAATACCACCAAAAACTACTTGAAAACCACATCCATTAAATTAATTATATTTAATAAATATTGTGTACAAACTTTTGTGATAAGTGCTAGTTCATTGCAATGTTCAGGGAAGAAAAACTAATTTTTTGTCTTAATGTTCATAGCCATTTGGAACTTACATGGGTTACAAATCTTTAAACTATTGAATATAAACATTTAGGTGCTGGATAAATGGACAGACATGGAATTCAAAATCCACTTTCTTATCCTCAAAGCACATAAAGTATTCTCCATTAAAATCTATTATCAACTTTCCCTCAAGTAAATTATTTCTTATGAATAAAGAAGTATAGTAATAAAGCACAACTCACATCTGTAGTTTGACCATGATACGTGCAACTTTACTCATAAATTCAGCCCCTTGTCTGGGACTATCTTCAATCTGTAACAACAGTAAAAACAAAATATCACTCATACATTTTTCAGTTATCCTGCAAACACTGACATGAGCACTGAGATGCCCACTACATCCTGTCCTATGCCAAACAAAAGTTTATGGCATAACTCAAAATTATGCTTAGAAAGTAATATGGCAGATGGAAAAGAAATATTTTTGAAGAAGAGCTACAACTGTAACATTTGCGACTGATATGAATGAGAATCTGAACAACGATGTCAAAATGACAATGTGGATTTTCTTGACAGAACTGAAAAAAGAATTTGCCTTCTCACCTCCTACCATGTCTTTCAGCCACATACTGTGGAATGAAGGAAAAAACCAGAAAACAGACTGGTAGAAACTGAATAAATTAAATGAAACTTTACTTAAAATAACTGAAAACTTAATTCACAAAATTAATAATTTGTGCATGGATAACTGACAGCAGTCCACTATATATATTGAGGAAAGTTAAGCAGGTGATGTAACAAGATTGTCTGCTGAAACATTGAGATTAAGCTATACATGCAAAACTGATACATACTAAAACTACTTCAGCAGCACGCTGATACAGTCTGAGTGCTTGCTCAGGATGCTGTGACTCCAATAATTTGGCTGCTTTATCCAATGATGCAGAACCTGAATCAGGAGAGCCATGTTGCTGGTACAAGTTACACGCTCTTTCAGCCAGTGATGCCACATCCCTGTAGTCTCCCAAATCTTTGCACACAAGCACTGCTTGATCAATACACCTACAATAAAGCACCAAGATCCATTTAGCACATGAATTGTAATACAATATGATTTACAGAACTACTCTACTACAGAATATGAATCTTAGTTCACGTATGAGTGGATCTGTGAGAGTAGGTGGGTAACAGAGTATGTACATGAATTTGCAATGAGGATGCAACAGCCTTGAAACAACAGGTACATACATTTCTTAAATTCACAATTTTATATGAATGATTTATGTTCTAAAAACCTACCTCATAAGTTTGTTCATGCAACATGCTATTATTATCGATTGTAGAAAATTAAAAAGTAAGATTTTATGGTGAACTCCAATGGCATAATGTCCATATCAAATTACATCCAAATCTGTCAAGCAGTTCTAAGTTGAATCATACAGACAGACATGGTAAGTCTGATATATGTTCATGTCATGGGCACCATGCAAAGAATGATGCAAGCAACTTATCTCAGAAAAATAATAACTTGGGAAAAAACAAATAAGTGGAAAGCAGGAAATCAAATAATCCTTTCTGGTTATAACAGCACATGATACCTAGCACATGCATACATAATTATTATCCCCCACCTTCCAAAAAGGCATTAAAGTAAATACTTTGTGCAAACTTGGCTAGAATAGTGTGAAATATGCAAATTCAAGCATGTTTTCAAGTTTATAATGAGAGGATTTGTAGCATTTATGGTGACATCAACTACAGACCTAATGTTAATTATGACTGGCCATAACATACACATACACAAATACCAAGTAAGCAGTCTAATAGACTGACTGCTACTGATTAAACTATTAGAAGGAATTGTTTTAGACACTGAGGCCTTAAATATCATTGTCAAAATGGTGTAAACTTATATACAATGTTTGTCACATTGCAAACATGTTACTGTAATACTTACTTGGCAGCATGGAATAATCTGAATTTCATGTTAAGAATTACATTTGCTTGCAATTAGCTATATTCCAATATAAAACACTAAACTACATGTTGTTGGTTATTGCCCATTGCCTCTATTTGATATACATGACATTTTGGTATGCGGATATCATGCCTATTAAGTACCTTGGTAGCAGTTGAATTTATTCCTGGCTGGGAAAAGGTGCCTCTCAGCACTAAATAAGATACAAGATGATAACTCTAAGAGAAAATAATATTTATAAAAACATCTAGCTTTTCTCACAAAATCACCACCTTTGCAAGTTGGGTGAGAGACATTCTCGTATTTATTTGTAATCCTAACCAGCTGATCAAATGTAACATGACTAAATGAAATGAACTAAAAGGAATCACAATTTTATTTTATCACTACTAAATAATAAGCAAATGAGGATTTATGTAACACAGATGTTTCTCTGAATGCTTAGCATATGTTGTAAAACGCCCAACTGACAACATATAACCACATTACAAAGAACAGCACATAGATTATAAAAGGATACGATCTGTTTTGCTTGTGGCAATCAGCAGCTTTTAACAGACATTCTTTACACTGCTCAAATGACTTGCCATTTTTAAAGCAAGTAGCTGCAACAATTAAACAATGCATAAATATCTATCAGTGAAAAGGCAGCTCAGCATAAATACAAGGAACTCCCAGTTAATAAACTGTATCACACTACCTGCTTTGCTGTATTCATCTGCTGCAATATCAAAGTCTGGTCTCCATTTTAATAAAGAAGTCTTCAGACTGAAACAGAAGAATATAAATCTGTCTACTGAATTAAACTGTTGCTATATTTCAACAAAACAGCAATGCTGTTTAGACCTACCCAAATAAGAATGGTTTGCACATTTTTATAAAAATGTGTAAACCATACTGATGGTCCCGCGCCGTAGCCGCTCGGTCTGAGGCATCATGCTTCGGACCGGTGATACGGAATGCGCGCTGGTTCGAGTCTCGGGGGAGAAGAAATTTTCTCATGAGCTTTCGACCAGTGTATGGGACTAGTGCCAACCCAGCATCGTGAGGAAATTGGGGAGCTACAATGAGTAGCGTAATCCAGTCAGGAAAGCTACCAATGGCTGGGGGTTCGTCGTGCTGACCACACGTCATCCTATATCTGGTTGGAAGACCATTCGCCTCTGTTTAGGCATGTGAACGTGAGGCCAGCAGTCAAGCTAGTCGGCTTTGGCTCTCTGGAGCTGTTACGCCACAGATTTAATTTAATTTTAACCATACTGATGTGTTTACTAAACAAATAAGGCTTTGTGCAGTTTGTATCTTTATTTGTAGCTATCCTTCCAATTCCATATCTGACTTAATGCAAGCTCTACAAGCTTCTCTCTCTCCAACTTCTGGTTTCCTCACATCTCAATAAGTGGCTCCAGCCTCCTCCTTTATAATACACAGGACACATTCCCTGGTCTATATATTCCCTAACACCCCTAAGTCTCAAAATGCCCATTTTTACCATCCTATACCTCTTCTAGCCTCTTGAGTGCACGTATAATTTCTTTTACTTGATGCCATGTTAATGGAGACAAACGATGTAAGTGTAATTATCACATGAAGTACTACTTAACAACTTTTAGTTCATTCTTATCAAGATTGAAATGGTAATATTTTTTATATAATTAAGGTATATTTAAAAATGCCAGCAGTAGGTCATGCTGTATAGTGTTTAATGTTGGAGTGATTAGTGAATAATGAATCGGAAGGAAGCAGTCAAGGCCTAATTTAATGCGCCATCCCAGTGTATGCTGGAGGGGTTTCGGATAACCACAAAAAACCTGTCAGGTCAGCCAGCCTATGGGCCTAGACCTGAACCCAGGACTTACCAATCACGAGCAGGAGTGATAACCACTTGACTGCAATACTGTACTGTTCATGACTTTGAAGACATGGTTTGATAATACTGTAAGATGGCATAGATTTAGGTCCGTGATCATAAAACTTGTATGCTTCGCAATTTTATATATGGTGGTAGGCCATTAATAAACACGACAAAGTATGAACAAAATATCGAAACTCAAAAGAACTCATAGACCTATTGCCTCTGCATCCCGTAAGCTTGAAAACAGTGAGCGGAGGATCTTTTTTGTAGTCTCAACTACTAGCTATACAATGCTGTACATACTTGTGTTACAATAGACACCTACAATCAGCGATATAGGCCTATTCGTTATAACTAGCCTACCCATCCGCCCCCGCCTCCCACACCCGTTTCCAATCTTCTCCTTACCAGCCTTCTAATTTAAAGCATCATAAAATGTAGAAAAAAGTACAGGCGAAAGTTTGTAATGTCACATTTAAAACTAAACAATGAAATTAGATGTGTATAGTTATGATAAACCTCACTAAATACACTCGACTACAAGACACTTCGAAGTGACACTAGAGAGCAGATGTATTTCTGACGCTTAACATAATCACCTACAAAACTTACCTCTTTTCAGCCGCTTTTATATGATCTAAACCTTCTTCTATCTTCTTATTAACAGCCATAGTACACAGACACTACTTTGCAAATTTCTGAGCCGTATTAAAATGGATTTTCTCTGATACTGTAACCACACCAGCGTCTTAACTCAACGACGGCACTACCAACATTATTAGTTATTGTTGATCGAGGAGCCGCTTATGGGTACTTTGAAAGTTATATTAACCTTTAAGTTATACGGTCTTTCGGTATTCAGACTGCATAATAAAGTTGTTAACAATTCATTTATTTGATTATATAGATTTATTTACTGAAAGATCTAAACGCCTACAACTTAGTAAGTTGTTTATAGCGAGTTGTCAGCTTCCTCGGATTGCGAAAAATTGAAAGCTTTGCTATTCAAATCTTTAATTGTGTCTATAAATATCATACACAAATAAAATATAATTGATCTGCGGTGAAACACATATGTATGAATCAATGAATTCTAATGTAGCATCATATTTGTGATGTCAATTATGCAAATTGACTTGCCCTCTCTGTTGTTTGAACTACTGCACTATATTACCAACTTATGACATTCTTCTCCATGAACGTAATTTTCAAATATTCCGAAAGAATGTTAAGCAAGATCTTAGACGATATAAATTTTGACTTAAGAATAATATAGTTGTATAAAATAAAAAAAGTTTAAAGTTTATAAAATGTTTGTGACAGACGTATTTGGAGAAACATTTTTCTCAATTGGCAACACCAATGTTTGGAATTGTGACAAATATATGTATATACAAACTTATATATGCAGTTAATCATCGAAGTGAATATAAATAAACAAATTGTATGCAGGTAAAACAAGTGCTAATAAATACGTGCATCTTGTTGGACGGTAAAAGCACCGCTTTTTGCACTTTCTGTTACCCCATCATTTTTACTTCCTAGTTATAGATTAATAAGCTATTGCTTGCTATGTTAATATACTGTAGATTTCCATGCATGCATTTGTAATGTATGCAGTAAAAAGCCGTGCATGTGGTAATAGTTTGCGTGCTTTCGTTTTCTGAAATTAGTTATGTAATGTTAGGTTATTGTTTAGGTGTATAGGCTTTGTGATGGGGAAAAAAGACCTAAAAGCTAATCCCCTTACATGTTAAAAATTTTAGTACATTGAGTTAGACTCTGCTGATTCACTTGGATATTCCTGTCCCATAGTTGCCACAGTGTTGAAAAGCTTTCCAGTACTATTTTCTTCTATCTTCTTGTGACACGAGATTTCTGTTTCATTACCAACTATCAGGTCAGTTTCAGTCATTTTATTGTTGCTTTCAACTTAATCTAAGATGTCTGAGTTATTAGGTGTTAATTCCCATTCCCAGACTTACTGATATTCATCATGTATTGCACTCAACCACAGAAAAATATGGTAGATAAATGAGTTTGTGTTTTGTCATGTATAAAATTTTGTAATGAGTCTGCTAGCATTTGCTGCACTTTCTATCTTTGCTATGGAAAGCAGTTTAATATGGTACAGAAGGTATTCATTTAACAGAAAACATTGATCCAGTTCCTTTATTCAGAATTCTGAGATAAGGCATTACAGTTTTTGGTGTTATTTAATACATGTTATTATTTTGTAGGTGGTGAAGATGTGCCCAAAAGAAAAGAGTAACTGTAACAGTTCAACAATACAATGGCTAACATGAAACAGAACCTCACATGCAGCCGTAGTAAGCCCCCTCCTGCACGTAGTTCCAGTTACAGCCTTGGTAGAGTTCGAGGTCAGATGAATGTTGATCATCCATCATCAGCTCTTTTGCATACAACGCAAGTTCAAGAAAGGTATACTACAGACACATGTCTGCTGCTTCATCATGCCTTATGTATCACAAAGAGTTCCGCTAACTGGATGTTTTTATCATAGCCACAAGGTTGCAGGTGATAAAGCTGGGAGTGGAGCCTCAGGATTTGGAGACAAGACTTCCAGTATTACTTCAATGACAGCTTCACCCAAAGAGATTTCAGAATGCCTCAGTGGTTGGTTAACTTACCTACAGGTAAGTTGGCAAGTGCATCAATTAAGGTAACTATGAAGAAGGAGTATGTGAACACACAACAATGTTTTGAGTTCATGCTGAAGAATGTATATGTCATGTAGATGTTGACGGGTCTTTGTGGTGCTGGTTCACGACTTTCACACTGCCTGGGGACACTGGTGCAGGACACTTCCTCCCCATGCCATGCAGTGGCTACTCAGTGCCAGGCAACCTGGGAAGAGCTAGTCAAAGCTACTACAAATGCTAGCACAGTAGTCAAGGCACAGGTGATACCCAGTCTTCAGGAAGTGAACAATGCAAGTGACATTGATACAGACTCTCAGAAGTTGCATGAACATAATCAGGTGCGTACACATCCTGTCTGAAGTGTTTGATTAATTTTTTCAGGTATAAAGAACTTGTATTTAGAAATGATGTTACGTTGAAGTTTCCAAATTAGTAAAAGTATGAAGATGACTCTTCTTGGATGTGCTCTGCAGTCTCATAGAAATTGACCAATGTTTCAGAGATGCTTACGTCCTCCATCACCATGAACACTTTAATATTAGCCTAGGTGAAGAGTACAAATTATGACGATCCTGTTTATATTTCATGGGAGTATAGTTTAGGAACCATTGATTTAGAGCAGTGTTCCGCAAACTTTCTTCACCTGCGACACACTGTACTTTGTCAAAGATACATGAAAGCACACCACAGAATTTTGACCTTGAAAAGGGGTTACAAAACTGTACATGACCATAAATATGTCTACATATAAATCCTTGCCCCATTAATATGCAGGCATAAAAAACCAAAACATAACACATGTTGAATAAATCTATCAGTGATGAATGTGTATATTACGGATTCTAATTATGAAAGACTAGATATTGCTTTTCTTCCAACTATGAGGCATACTGGTTGCAGAACACTGATTTAGAGAATGTGTCTATAAATAACGAATTCTAATGATGTTGAAATGTTCTTATTCAACAGGTGATTTGTGCAAGCCTTATGACCTTCATTAATCTCCATTATCAGTTCTGTGTTGCGTGTTGTGACTTTCTTGGAGCCATGGCTAATTCTAATTGCTGCCAGATGAATGAAGCAACTCCAGCACGTCACAATTCAGAATGCATTGTTGGCATTGTTCAACAGTGTTTTGCCCAACCTGCTCCCCCCCCTCCTCCACCAGTAGGTACTCACCACTCAGTTCGTAGCCCACTTCATTTCCCACTGTGTTCCTTGCAAGGCCCGCAGCGCCGCTGGTCGGAAGCTGCAGCTGGGGAAGTTTCAGGTGAAACAAATGATGGTACAATGCGTCGCTGGTCAATGCCTTGGGAAAGTTCAAGATTGGCAGACCATCATAGTACTTGGCATGGACGACTTAACCCTCCCTCAAAACTAGCTGTTCCGTCAGCAAGCTCACAAGACAGAAGTCGGTCTACAACTCCTGGTAAGCCATGCTCCTTTATGTGTATGCTTTTCAATAAAGACACAGTAACAAATTAAATTCTTAAATAATCAGAGATGATGGAAACTAACAGATGGAAAGTACATACAAAATTTTGGTTGGAAAACCTGAAGGGTAGAGACCACTAGAAGACTTGAGCATAAATGGGAAGATGCAGTACTTTAATTGAGCCGTTAGCTTCTCAAGAAGGCCCTCTTCTCCACGTAGTCAGTCAGCATAATTGAAAAGGGTATGCTACTGCTATTATTTCAATTTTTCCATATAAGTTTCTCAGTACCTATTTTCTGTTTTACATGCTTTTCCAACAGTGAACAGTCCAGATAACTCAATTGAACATACACAAGGCAGATATGTGTATGAATGTCAAACTTGCTATTAATCAGCATTTTTTTAAGAAACAAGATGTATAAACTAATCATATTTCATTTTCTTTCTTCTTTTTATTTGGGGGGGGGGGCAGTTGATGGTCAGGGTATATGTTTCACTGCCACCGATTGGCTATATTTTTTCAGTTCATACTCACTGAACTGGTTTGTTCTTTGCAGACTCAGTGTGGCATTCATCCCTTGCAAGCCAAGAAGAACTTCAGGAAGTCATTCAGCTGTTGTCTTGTCGACCCGGAGTCAGTCATTCCACACAGCTGTATCATCCTAGCCAACATCTTCCTGGTGAGCCTTTTACAATGTGCTGCCTCCATCTGGTATTCAAAATTTCTTTGGACCAATTACTAATATTACAGCAAAAACTCAAAAAAGGTAACAATATGTCAGGTAGATAGCAAATAAGAAGTATACTTAATAGCGCAGTGCTTCTCACACACTTTGACACGAGATGGTGATATTGATGACAGGAGTGAATGAGACTGAGTCCTTTGGTACTGCAGCCACCCTCTTGTTTTCAGCTTGTTTACAGATGCATATGGAACATTGGTGGAATATCATTTAGAATAAGGCTGCATGAGCTAGAATAACTCGGTCAGTAAAGTGGATGACTACAGGCTTCATGATTCAGGTTCAGTTCGTGGCAGGGGATTACATTTTATCTTTGCCATTTTGCCTCCAGACTGGCTGTAAGGGCCACCTGGCTTTCTTTCAAATTGCTACGTGGTGGCTATCTCCTCGGAAGTTAGGCAGGCAGAGTACAAAGATGACCACTCAACTTCATCATAAGACTTCGCATGGTGGTTAAGTACGGGAACAACTTTGTCTTTAAGTAGGGAGGTTACCAGTTTTAAGTAGCTCATACTAGTTTGATTTTCAGTTCCACTGAGAAGAATTTTTTTACAGGAGTTACACTAACCAGTTGTCCATATGATGGTCCATCTCCAGAATGTGGAGGTTGGAGCGAAAATGTTCAGTCAGATGAGAGAGGAGGCAGTTGTGGACCTTCACGGCGTGGCAGCAGCTCACCTCAGCCGTTGGCAGTTCAGCAGCACCTCCATCGTGCCAGCTGGCATGCCCCTGACACGCACTCTCACATGTAAATCAGCTTCTGAATTACTAATAGAGTGAAGTTTATACAAAGAACATTAACATTTTCAGTTTCATTAAGTATGTCTATCATTTCATAATTGCATATGTGTTGTGTTAGTTTTAATTACACTTATTTTAGACCAATTCCTGAATTATTTGGTTTTATTATCCCATTACCATTCTATATAATGTTTATGTTTTTACATAATAAATTACCACCACATACGAATATTTTTGTCCATTCCGTTCCAGTTCCTCTTGATTTAGTATAAGTTGCATAGGAAAATTTAAAAACTGTCAGATAATATGCCCCTTGTTATAACTGGAAATGCAGTAGACATATTTACCTATACAAATGTTACTGTAATTTCCATGTATGCATGATTAATTAATGTGACAACATTTTTGAATCCTTAAAATATAAATAAGTATATCTTCAACTGGCTCATAACTTTTCTTGAAATTTACATGTATGTACTGTACCATTGTACTTGCATATTTTATATAATGTCAGTTAAATGCAGAAATTAGATTACTACTTGACCTTTCATGTTGAAAAGGCTTTGATTATCACAAATATTTTTATCCACAAGTACATGTTAATTGTGCCAGAAGAAACAAACATATTTATCCTCTGTCTACAGATTGTTTACATCAGTTATAAAAAATAAAAGATTGCTGCAAGAACTTACAAATGCATAATGACCATATTTTTTTGTTGTAGTAGTCAGAACTTTAAGAAAAACAGAAATCTCATTGTAATTTACACTGCTCATAAGAAAGCAAATTGCTCTCTGCTGCATTCAGACCTGAAGATTTATGAAACTGATCTTGTATAAATTTTCTCAACCATATATTGAGAAAATTGAAAACTACACTGAATACTGTCATTGTGAAACAACTAGTAACATAAAAAATAAAGTGAGGAATACTCCCAAGGTGATTTGTTCAGCCCTCTGCAATTGTGTATATGGCAATGAACCTGCTGAATCACATCCCAAATAGTACTGATTATGGATTTGTAACTGAAATAAAAATTATGCTATTAAATGTCTATAATAGATATCAACACACAAATTGCTGGTGATCACAAAAGAATTCAGTGAGTTCTGGTCTGAATAAGTATACGTAGTATAAGTAAGCTAGTCAGGTAGTCAAATTCCCCAAAGGTTCACTGCCATGTTCACAAGAGGCCATCACTCATCCCTATCCTGCTTACATGAATCCAAACCATTTCAGTCAGTCATAGTTCAAACTTCACTTAAAAAGTAAAGCTGTCCCACTATGCGCCATGTAGGCGCTTGAGGAGAGAGGAGGTATAGCTCCTACTCATACTTGACCTCAGCACTAGATGGGGGTGAGTGGTCAGCATCACGCCCCAGCTGTGCTTTACACCCAGGAAAGGACCCCGGTACCCATTGGACACGAGGCTGGGTGGGCCCCAGAGACAGTCAAACTTCACTTAGATTTATAAATTATATCTTTGTGTCACTGAATGTTCACCAAATTGAAAAAAGTAATGAAAAAATGGCACAACAAGAATTATGTCTTTATGTTATGTACTTTTTTATACACTGAATCACTGTATGTTTTCATATTTGTGATTTGGTTCTTATTCATTCCTGCCTGTAAATAAGTCCTTGCAGGAAAAATGTATATGAAAGTATCTTATCTGTGGATTGTGGTTTTCTGGGCTGTGATGCCATGTAGTTTTGTAGGTATTAACCAATATGAAGTCCACATTTTCACTATCATAAAAACCTCAGATCTCATACAGCAGGTTGTTTGTTTATTGATCATGTTATTGATTGTAGATGCTTTCTGTCTTGTACCACAGGTGGGGTGAGCATGAAGGCCACATTGGTGGTGAGAGGAGTTTTGACCTCTATCCTCCAGCACTTGATGCTGGAACTCTGGCTTCAAGGAAGAGCAGTTCTTCAACTGACTCTTCATCAAGCCATTCATTACACAGTCGATCCACTACAGGTTCTGAAGGAGGGGCTGTGAGTTTCAGTATTGTTCTTGTTTCTTCATAGTAGTCTTACACAGTTGTAATTTCTATGATGTATCTACCATTAATAATTATTACTGTGTTATTATATGGGCCTTGTTTCCAGTGGCATCACTTGTATCAAATAAAATCTCAGCGATTTTGTTTGATGATTGGTAAGAAGTAAGCACCATCATGGTAAAATTAATTATAATTTTTATAGACATAATAAACCATGTGAAATTTAATGTGGAGATAAATGATAAATTTAAACATTTTGCATGCAGCAACTTTTATGTGTTAAGAAATACAGTGCAATAATGGTGCAAAACTTGGGTGTTATACATATAAATAAATCATAACTTTTATAATTACTTATTTCTAATTTATGCCATGCTCTGTATAGAGACATACATGCTTGATGGAAATTAGCATCATAAGTTCCTGGAATTTTTACTACATGACTGAATGTAGAATGTATGTTTCTGTGCATTTTGTCTAATGTCGTGAAGCAAAAGTAGTACTACATGCTAAAACTCCGCTTTCACAGGAGGTTCGGGCACATCTGTACTCTATGTGGAGTGGCAGTGACCTGACTTTCATGAAGCTTCCAGAATCAAATGAACCAACAGACACCATCCAGGCAGCAGATATCAGCACATCTACCTCCATTTCCATCAACAGTGGAGATGGCCTACAGAGATTCTCACAGCCAGATATGACTAACACTTACTACAGTAGCTCAAAATGAACAACAAATTGTACTATATCAGTAATAATGAAAATGCATATTCTACAATGTTATTTTAAAGGTGTGTGACAGCGGTCTAATATTAGTATGGGGGAATTTTCTTTTAGCTTTGTCTGTTGTATGAATAATATTTATAAAATACACAGTGTTTCAGAGGTTGCTGTGCTTGCCTTCTGGTAGATGATTGGTTGATTATTGTATTACAGAGTCACATGGTAGCATGACTGAAAATGATGAATTGCAAAGGATGCGGAATAAAGTCGTCATTGCCTGTTTTCCTCTCAGCACCAGAAGCTTTAAATCAATTTATGTAACCTGAGGACAGATGAAATCAATCACATAATACAGCAGCAACAGAGAATACGTTTGGTTTACACAGAAGAAAAATGGAAACAGAGCCAGCCTTTGATATGTTGTGTATATATTTATATTTTGTCAGATAATGGACATGTCCAAAGAAAATTCAACCATAAGGTAGGTACAAGGTTCCTTTGTATGTAATATTTAATGGGACAAACTCTTACACATCTTTTGTTTAGAGGGTTTATCAATCTTAATTCTAGATTTAATTCTTGAAAGTAAAACATTTCTTATTTTAAATACATGATATATGCTTCCATGTTTGCAGTCAGATGTCTGGGACAAGACTACTTTTTATTTTTGTTTTCTTTCTTTGCTCTACACTTTCTCGTACTGGAAAATGAGCTGTCACTGTAATTTTAATTCATTTTGTGGTTTCATCAAATTATTCATGAAATATGTGTAATCTTTCTATTTGATGTCTGTGTATTGTAAATTTCATTGTTCATGGTCACATGTTTTTATGTGTCCTTTAAATAAAGTGCACAGAATGAATGTCATGTCCATCTGCCTCTCCACCCCTGTATTTTATCTCTGAAACTACTTCAACAGATTTTAGTGAAATCTGGTACTTGGGAGTCTACAACTACACATTTTCAACTAAGTTCATGTTGGTCTGTACTAGTCCATTACTCTATATCAAAGTCAAGTTGAAATTGATTACACTTTTAAAAAATAATTCAACATTAAAAACTGGTACATCATGTCATATACATACAAGATATAACTGACATATGTAAATTGTTCAATTCTAAAGGGTTTTGACGACGGTAGTTCACACTTAAAATTATTTGTTGTCAGGACTTTTTCCATCGTCGTGAATTTTAAAAAACAGACAATGGAAAAAGTCCTGACAACAAATAAGTTTAATTATGTAAATTGTATTTGAAACATTTTTTAACATGGCATATATTAAAAAAAATTAACAATAATATTTCTGTACAGCATAATATCTGTAGATTTGTATCTGCAATAAGTGAACATCAGGGAGACTTGCAACTTGCAATAAATGTATCTGGGAAATATGTGTAATCCAGTGAGGAACACCTTTTTCTTTCTTATTCTATCTTATGCACCTCACACAACAAACCAAGAGTAGATGAAAATTCTCTGTAATCAGCAAACTTTTGAAAACTGTTATTTTATTATACACTTTGAAAAGTGTATGATTATCTACAGTATGTACCAAGGGCACTCAGTTTCTATATATTGAATTGTAATTTTCATTAATAAGATTTTTGTAATAAAATACCATACATTTATATTTGGACTTAGATGGTAAATAAAATAAGTATTTTGAAAATTTCAAATTTTCCCTAATTGATATTGTGTCAGTGTTTCATTGTATAAGTTATTGAAGAGAGCCCTTCAAGTTTGTAGTAGTATGTGTTATATCACACTTACATAAGATCTTGTAATGAGGCCTGACCTAAAAGCTGGTGGTAGGATCTTGTATTTTAGAAATGGGTGTGTATTATAAAACATTGTTCTGCTTGACCCCCCTTCCCCCTCCAGTTTTACTTGATAACTTAGATAATTTTCCTATTGCATGAAACTTATGTATCTCTTATGTTTTATCATAATGGTCAGTTTCATTAATTTCTTGCCTCCCTGAAGAGTGCTTAAAAATGAAATGTATTACTGTTTAGTGATTATCATGTACAATCAATAATTTGTACTGAAACATTTTTGTAGGAAGTTCTGTGCATTGTTTGTGAAGTTCATATTCCTGTGAACTTCTCTTTGGTAGATGCTCCTGTTAACTTGTTTCCATTTAAAAAAATATATTGCCTGTTGAGTTTCTGTTATTAGGTATACTACAGAATAGTTTCAGTACACTTATACACTGTTCAAGTTTACTTTGTTGCAATAAGTGTTAACATAACATATGACATGTAACTAGTCCTGAATCACAGATAAAAATTAAGACAATTTTAATATTAGAAAAACAGTCCTATACAGCATAATGCATTTGACTCCTTCAAGGTTTCTTAATAAGTAAATGAGATTGATGAATCTTGAATAATTTTATTGCTGGCAATAAAATTAAGACATACTGGTAACCATTACATTTTGTAATTCAACAGTAAAGAGACAAAACACTTAATAGTTTTGAGTCTAGACAATCATATGTATATTCTTGTTATATCCTATAAATTGTGATTTAATTAATATTATCATTTTATTCATGATCTCTTTGAATTCACTAAATGCATTGTGCCAGTTATATAATTAATTAAAATGATAAGTGGTTACCTTGAATATTTATTAAGGAGTAAAGATTAATCTTTTAATACGATTACTAGCCAACAGCAAATTAGTGAGAATTTAATATAGATATGTAGTTCACTTTTGTAAAGTTGTAATTTGAGGTCCTAGTGATGTTTATGCAAAATGAAATTAAAGTAAATCAACCTTTTACTTTTCTCTGAGTAGCTGTCATAGAGAACATAATATTTTGAAAATTGCACCACTAAATCGACTAGGTTTTCATTAGCTAGCATGTGTTTTCCTGTACTAAAATGGTACATTATGTATTTCTATTTCTTCATGTAAAAGAAAGTCTACCATTTTGGATTGATGTTAAGATTGTATAGGCTCATTTTAAAATATGACTGTATAGTCGCTGTTTGTTTTGTTTATGGAATTTTAATACCTTTGCTTCCTGCATTAGTCATAAATGAACATATATTCTGAAGTTCTAAGAGCAGTGAATATGTTCATTTTGTCAATTGTGGTCTTCTGGGTTGTCATGCTATGTAGTCTTGTAGGTGGTTAACAGAATTTCAGAGAAGCACCACATTCAGATTCTTACCCAGAAGACCATAATTGACAAAATAAACATATTCACTGCATTTTTGTTCCTCTTAACTTGCACATAGTTTTAGTTCACAACTGTGAGGAATTATGCTTACCACAATCATAGGTGGTTGGGTGACCCATCTCAGCCACTAAAAATATATTGTGATTATGAAATACTGCAGAATTACAGTACACGGACAAAACAGACATCTGCAGGTTTCACAGAAGCCTTTCATTATATGGAAATTTGTAAGGTAGAATATTTATTATAGTTTTATCCTGTTTCGTTTGCTCATAGAAATATTTCTGTAGAATTCTTGCAACTTACCTAATTAAAGTGTGTAAGAAAGATGCAGTGTAATTTTCATTGTGCCTTCTGTACTTGTGTTTCTGCAAGCTCTTGTTTTCATGGCAATTTCATTTACTTTCTTACAGTAGATATAGTATGAAAAATAAGCAAGTTATGGATTTTTGAAATGGCAACATCACAGTTAGGTTCTTACCTATGTGCTGCTGTATAAAGAATGTTTAAACAAATTTAAGGAATACATTTGATCTCATTTTACATGAACATCACTTTCATTTTGAGAAGTTGGCTGCTCCATATTAAATTCTAAGGCTCTGAGGTTGTAAGACATTATTCTTATTAATGTTATAATAGTTAGTACTCTAATGTTATTAGATATATTTATGCTATTACATTTGTTGTCATGTTGATGTGTTCAAATGTTATAATTAAAAAGGGAAACATTATATTGAATAACAGAAAAGATTAATAGCACTTGGTGAGTGTGCAAAAAAATAATAATACAGGAATGGTTATGTGGGAAGATCAGTGTAATCTGTTCTCTGTTAATCTTTGTTTCTAGAAAGAGCTTTGATTATGACCCGAGTTTTACAAACAAGATAAAAGAACATGAATGTGTTAAAATCTCACATGCCTTTTCTCTGGTAAGTGCAACTCTTACTTTGTCCACAGCTGTAATTATAAAATACACAAATTTCAACCCAGATCCCCATGTTTTCCTTGCTTCTTTGCTTTATGATGTTTTTGTTATTAAAATGTTTACATTGGATTATTTACTGTAGTGGCCATTATACCTTATTCTTAGGGCTCACAAAATGTATTAATTTAATCATCTTTCATGAGAAAAATTGTGGCTGCCAAGTTGAAAATTTCTATTATACATGAAACATGTTAAGCTAATATTAAAATTAATCTTATTCGTGGGGGAGTGTGAATTGGATTATTCTGGCTCAGGATAGGGAGCGGTGGGCAGAAATTAACTTTAAGGTTCTATAAAAATGTGGGGAATATATTGACTAGCTGAGAATACTATTAGCTTCTCGAGGATTCTGCTCCATGGAGTTGGTACATGTTAGACACCTGAGAACTGAAAATTTTATGTGATTGTTGAACGAAGCTAACATTTGTTCATAAGTATATTTAGTTATGAATAGGCAACTGAAAATATAATACTGACTGTAATATTGTATCCATTATGCAGAAAATAACCTGCATTCAGTCATGAAGACTCCAAAGGATTGTAGGGCACTGTAGAAGCTACATGTATTGCATCTTCACTTTGGTTCTCTGCTGATGATGTAAAAGGCCTGAAATATGACATTTAACAATTTCCATTATTCACATCAATAAAGTGATGTCTTATATTAAAGTGAAACATTACACACAGAAGTCTTGCACCATTACCTTCATTACATGTTTCTCAGATTTTCCAAGATAAAATTTGAAATGGAAAGAAAGAATTAAGTGATATAAACTGGCTAGGAGAGAAATTAATAGTTATCTTTATGTCAGTAACTGCAAAGGCATGATAGAAACCCTGAAATGTTGGCTGAAGATCCAGCAAACTATTGGCATACGTTTAAATTGTGTTCAGCACCTGAAACTGCCTCAGCAAACTTTTGATATGTTGGCCAAATCAGGTGGAACATGACACTGAAAGTAGAGGAAAAACTGGGATAAAGTTCAGATTGATGAAATATGGTTAGACAGCTATAGATGCAGGTGGCTTTTTAATCAACCCTTTTTCTCAAATGACTAAAGAGAGAGAAGGAAGTTAATGTGTGTCCAGCTATGTTAAATTTGGTGAGATTTCTGGGTTTTCACAGTAGCAAATATGAAGATGACTGTCTTCTGGGAAGTTGCACTGTGCAGTCTGGTAGAATTTACTCAATGTTTCAGAAGTGCTTACTGTTTACACCATCAGAGAAGCAGCAAGCGCCTCTGAAATAATGGTGACCTTCCACCAGACTATGTGGCCAGCATCCCAGAAGACAGTCATCTAAGTCAAATTTGGGCTTAGTTATATTTTAACTTTAACAAAGGCTGCATATTCTGGTAGGCTCATCCACCTCATGTATGTGCCCATTTTTACTGTTGTCTGTTACATAATACTCCCAATGTTACAGATTACTTGCCCTTCTCTCTTAATAAGAGCCTAAGTTTCTGGAACAGGCTCCTCCCTGAACAATAAGTTCCTGCCTTTTATGGAATTTGAACATTCATTACCATGTTTACAACAGCCCACTGTTGCACACTATCCTGAATCAAATGAATCCAGTTCATATCCTCTGACCCTTTTTTCCTAAGATCCATTTTAATGTTATCCTCTCGACTGTGCCTAAGTCTCCCAGATTGTCTCATCCCTTCAGCTTTTTGAACTAACATTTTGCAGTCTCTTCCATACATGCTGTATGCCCCACCCATCTACAGTAATCATATTAAGTCTAAAATAATATATTAATATGCTTAGCATTGTGTATTTCATTCAAGGAACTACTGAACTACTTACCCATGCAGCAGCAGCTGTACCTAACATGGATCTACAGGATCTCATACCATTTCCTTAACTTTTTTGTATTTCATTGGCCAGCTTCAAACCCAACATAAAATTGACAGAAGTCAGTGATTAAAACACACCTATCATTACAACTATAGTAGTAATAATCTACTTACCTTCTGTGCTTTCTAAACAGTACTATTCTCAGCCTTTGCAGTGAATCATACTGATAAACTTCTTTAAATATAACCATGTATTCTGGCAGAAAGAGAGATGTAACAGCTGCGATTGAAGCAATTATGCCAAATATTAATGATGGTAACTGAGAATAATATTCGCCCTAGAAAAATAAGTCAGAAAGAGGAACAAATTATTGATGCCTACTACTGATCATATGTATGTGTATTACACCTGTCAACATTATAATCACTCCTTTACCATTAATTAATTAACTGATTAATAGATATCTGCAGTGAAAATTAGAAATACATTATGAAATTTGATGTATGACAGTAGCCTCAGAATTCTTTCCGGTTACACAACACAGAGCAAATGGATAAACACTGTTGAGTATTAAAGTTTGAATTTAAATATTTTTGGCTAAATAAATTATAACAGTAAGCATCTGCTTATTGTTACCATGAGCACAGTAACTATATATGTAACATTTAAAGCTTTAATTTGTATTCCAAGATTAATATTATACCGTATGGAAATAGCAGATTTAAATCCTGTATTACAGGGCTGGTGTTGGTGTTTTAACTCTGGAATAAGCTCAGCTGCACATAACTGTGATGACCAATAAAGGTAAATGGCATAAGGTCTCTGCCATACTATTAAGTTAAATTCACTGCATCCTGATGCCATCTGCCCAGTTAATTTGGATGATTTTCAGACACTGTCAGCATGTTAATATTTTCTGCTTACATGGCACGAGGATTAATTAATTTGATTAACTGACTACAGAGACTAATCAGTGTTTAAATAACTCATTGATCAGACAAACTAGCCATGACAGTCTTTATACAGACCTAACCCATATTGATACCTGTGAGTTGTCACACATTCTGAATGTTTTGTTTCTTTTAATCTTTCATGCAGATAATTGCTTTAATAAAATGATCCAATATTAACAGTGCCAAAGGAAGTTGTACCTGGTGGAGCTTCTTGAATCATATACATTGGACTACAAAGTGTTAACATATCTTTCAGATGCTTATGAAAGATGAGTGCAAAGAGAAGTTAAACTTCTTATAATAATGTAGTGTGCAACTGTATATGAGAAACACAGTATTATGATGTACACAGGGACCTTGCTATTCCTAGCTGCCTCTCAGGTATTACACATATGGCTCAGAAATGCTCACTGTAATAGTCTGAATTGCATGGCTGAGATAAATTTAATTTTTGATGAATTATTTTTAAACCCACATTCTGAAAAATTATCCCTGTTAAGAAAAACATGTTACTTTCATGGTGGATACTTTAATTTACTAAAAAAGAATATACAAAATGATTGCTTATGTTTAAAAGTGTCTTCTCCCCATGATTTACCAACTCAGATTCTAAGTTGCAGAAATGAATATGCTCAGTTTGCAGCACTGTTCTCAGAACTGACAATGGAAAAATGTATGTACTTATATCCTGGCAGAATACAGATACATTTTAAGAATAAGTACATATTTTCAGTCAATATTAAGTGACTTTTACTTACCATATAAACAATGCCAGGAACAATGGCAACAGCTAAGACCAATGGACTTTCTGTATTGGCTGTAGAAATTTTGTCAAAAATGTTGATCCTTTCCCAACGTCTTTGGACCATTGTATAATATGCTACTGTCACTGCAAATCTGGTCATTAAACCAAGCGTTAGGCTTAATATAATATATCCTGCAAAACAACTGAAATAATAAATTTATAACATAATGTGTCATAAAGTTATGTAATTAAATAATGTTTATGTGGACATGTCAATTGAAAGGAACTTTATTTATTCTATATTTAGTGATACTAGCATTGGGATATAAGGGCAACAATGTGAAAATTACTAGAAGACCTCACCTTCCTATGATGTTCTCTGTATGATGAACCATCACCCAAATGTCAATATATTATTACTGAGTAATTAGTTCAGTGCTCTGCAACTTCATTTTAGAATACATTAGAAAACTAGGAAAATCAGAGATGACAGAAAACTGAACATAACATGTCACTTACTGGTCTATACCAATGGTGTTAAGTTATGAGACAGAAACAGAAATACCATAAAAATTAACACACAACAAGATCATATACCAGGCAGTATCACAGATAGTGTATTTACACTTTGGGTTCCATGTCTTTGACTTACCTGTAGGTAATATGGCATAGCAAATGCTTAAAATAGCTGCACACATGAGAGAGACTGTAAGTACCACTTGATAAATTTTAATATGTGACTGTAGAATGAAGGGCAATATCCAGATTGGAATCTCCATCAAGGCAGCATACCAGTAGGAGACAAAGATATCTGAAGGATTTGATCTTCTGCCAAGAGCCGTAGTTACCAAGTTCAGAGAAGTGTAATAATTTCCGTGATAACACAAACCACACAGCACCCTGTCAACAGAAAATATCTTAAATTGAAATGTAGTGGGGACTAATGCTGTAATTATGTTACATGAAATTTATTTATACTAACAGCAGTTTAAATTAAAACAATTTCTGTCATCTACTTTCCTTCAAATATGCATGTGCATGCACACACACACAATATATGAAGATTGTTCAAATTAAACCTGTTCAGGGGTTGCTCTGGGCAAATAAGTAGAGACTGCTAAGACACACCCCATGGACACTGAATCAAGCATCCCACTAACATATAACCTGATTAATCTCCTCCATACACATGTCCCTGGGCTGTAGCTGTAACCACTATACCACTGTGGCCTTGTTGTCTCTGTCTAATCAAAATCTATGGCCGTTTAGAGCTTTCTTGGGGGATGGTACTACCCCTTCCAGCACATGAAGCACAGAATTGTCCTGTACAGTGAAGGCCATGTGGGAATAGGCACTGTTGAGTGACATGTCGCATAAGCATGCCAGGATATGTTCTCTTGATGATTTGAATGAAGGTCTCAAGAGAATTCAACATTAGCACTAAGCATTGATGATTGACAAACGTACGTACCAAGGAACTAAATGAGAGCTCTAGTCCTGTTTGGACAGATTCTGCACAAGGAATGCTAGCATTTAACTGTGTCACACCATCCAATCTTCTTTAATGTGTCTATTCTGTTGCACAGCTTATAATCAAATACTGATGTGTTATGCACACAGCCACATGACTGACCATCCATATTCAGTAGCGACTCCGAGAACATGTTTCATTTGAATTCTCATGTGAGGCTAGCAAGAATTATAAACAGACAGTTATTCTATTTACTGACTCACTTTTATTCACAATATTTCCACTAGCAGATTCAAATTAAATTATATTTGTGAGATATAATGTTGAAGTTGGGCACTGTATGAATTTAGGCCTGAAGAGGAGCTGAAAAATGTCATTACACTATGGACCCAGCCATGATTTGAGGTCCCAGATAAATATGATTTGCCTGGAATTATGGTAAAATACAAATGAATTAGCTACAAAGCAGAAACAGTTTAAGATAAAAGCCTACCATAGTATGTTTTTTATAATGCGGAACTGTTTCCTGCAGGAATAGCAGTGCATATTTTCAGACTTCAACAGATCATTTCTACTGCTGCAGTTGCTCTGTAAATGGCATAACTTCATATTTCTGTGATTCCCCACCCAGAAGTTGTAACACTCCATCAGAGATTTGTGATTTAGATATAAAGGTTCTTTTCTGTTGACCTTAGCGATACTCTGGAGTAAATGAACTGCATTTTCATGATCACCTTTGATAAACATCCACCATGGAGACTCGGGAACAACTCTAGAAATTCAGGAAAAGTATGATTTTACATCTGACTGGAACATGATATAGAAAATTCAACATCATATAACATTTCCTACTTATCTCAATTCATCAACTGTACTGCAAATCAATGTAGAAGTACATCTAAACACATCAGTAACTGGATAGAAGTTGATGGCTACGATGCATGATGAATCTGAACTAGCACACATTTAAATTTTTTGTCACAATGAATGCTAAAACAAATGACTACATGTATTTAGTTATGTTCTGCTTAAGTACAGAAAGAAACAAACAACAGTGTACATGATGGATACACATGCACTGGACTCACCTTGTTAGCATGATGAATATAGTCGCTGATAATGTTGTTGGAACTAGAGTGAGCCACCACCAGGATGTTACAACATGGGCTATCCAAGGGGACATTAATGTAGCTGTAGTATGAGCCATCATCATAATAAACAGTGGGAAAACTCGATATTTCTCATCGCAAAATTCTAGAACTTTAAAAGAAACAAACATTGGAACTACCATTAGGTATGTGCTTTTCACAACTATCATTATTTCAAATAAACTCACGTGATTCTATACTTACATTAATTACTGAATAAACATTTTGAGATGTCCATAAATTGATCTTATCTACAATAATAACCATGTGGCATGGCATGAAAGTCTAAGATCCTTGGGATACTGCAGCTTATAATCAACCACCCTATTCCAGGGGTCACTAAGTGTACATTCACAAGCAGCTTGGTGCCTTCAGAAGCACTTTTGGGTGCACTTCCAGGAGAAAGCCTTTTTCATCAAGTGTGGTGTATAATTTTAAAAGAGGTATGACACCATGTCAGTTAAGTAATGAACTCTTGAGTTATTAGGTTAACAGAAGCAAACCAAAATAATTATACTGGGATTTGCACACAAAGTATAGACCTATGAAATTTTCTCGGTAAAATCAGTAAAATGGAAATATTTCTTGAAAAACAAATTTCCTTATAAAACAACAAGATGGCTATGCAAAAATTTTCAACTTTCAGTCTGACAATGGCAACTCTAATAAGAATGGCATTTTAATGGACTTCGTGGTTTGAAAGTGGAACATATACCACATAGATACTTTAGACTGTGGAATGCACAATACTCATAATGTTAATGTATCAGAATAATCATTTTGTATAGGAACACATATAACTGTTACAGCAATTCCCACAAAGATGGTGACATATTTGTATGAAGAGTGATTAGTCTGTGTTAGGTTCAAAAAAACAATACACACAGACTGATTTTTATGTAACCTTTGAAATATACAGATCAGTGTGTATTTGTATTGTCCATTCTGGTTACATGGTATAATTATGTCAGTGATAAAACTCATAACTAAATTGGATGAGTACTGTGGAAATATCACAGGTAATGTGCATTATAACTGGCAACTAAAAGATTGCCTATGTACATGATAAAAGAACATACCTAATAATAGTGCCAAATAGCTGGTAGTAAGATGACCTAAACCAACTACAAATCTTGAAATGAAAAGCAATAAAACTCCTGATGCTAGTAAAGTTGCAGCTCCTCCAAGAAAACATAGAAGCATCCCCACTATCAGAGAAATGCGTCTTCCACAGCTATAAAACAAATACAACACAACATGGTGAAAACAAGTGATTTACAGACTCCTGGTGGTAAAGTTATACAGGTGTATGCATCATGAGCTTTGAGATCTAGAGTATCCCACTGATTTATTATTATTATTATCTCGGTTGAAATGCTGTGTGGACTCACAGGTAGATATCAAGGTTTCAGAGAAACAAACTTCAGTCCTGAAGATGGAGACAGTGTGTTTTTCCACAACACTGGTATCTACCTCAGAGTCCATATAGTGTAACAACCCATAGGAACACAGTCAGGTCTAAGAATCACTTTTGTCCATTTTTAAAATTTCAAATGTACATAATCATTCACTTCAGATGAATGAAATCATTACAGAAGAAAAATTGTATATAAAGTAGGGAATATTACATGAATGCCTTTAATATCATAGTAGCTCTGTTAATATATTGTAACTGTTTCAGTGTGGCAACTGATAAGCCAAAACACAGTATTTGCAGCAAGACACACAATAAAGAATAAGAAAAACAGTAAGGCAAGTGGAATGAAACACAGATTGAAAGTTTTAACTAGCTCATCGGTCTTGTGGGTCAGTCAATCTGCACACTTAGTTGAGAATGATACTTGAAACTGCTAACTGTGTTACATTTTCTTTAGATCTAATATTCCAAAATTTCAAATATGAAAGCATTCTTAACTCATAAATGCTCTTATATAATAGTCTTAATGAATACCTGTTAGCTATATGACCACAAACACATACACCAACTGAGGCTCCTAACCAGAAGGCAGTGTGGAGTGTGTATGCTTTCCACTTGAAGTTGCACACCCAATTGTTCTGAGAAAATAAAGGAGCACTAATTTAAACTTCATTTCTCACATTTTAATTTCAGTAATTATTTTCTAGAGATATGAATTAGTATGTTATATTTCCAATTATATAATTTGAAATTTTGGCACAGGCCACATCATTTCTTGGGACACAGCACAGACAATTTTATTAGTATGTACAGAACTGTAATTCACACTGATCCAGTAATTTATGTTGCTTAAAATTTAAACATTTAATTTTATCCTAGCAATAATAAATGGAGAATGACATCAAGGGACATATATAATAATTTGATATTTGAAATGAAGTTACAGTTCTGAAAATTCCACAAGTGTCCTCCAATTTTCTAATTTTTAACAGATTTTGATGCATCCAGAGTGTAGTGATCTCATTGAAACACAGAATGGAGTCAGATGAACTGAAATAGATTACACAAATTTGCTTACCTTTATGCCCTCATTCCATTATGACAGAAGGAAAACTTTTCAATAATGCTTAATGAAGTTGGAAAATTATTAGACTGGCATTTGAGCATCATATGGGCTTCATTTTACAAGATCATATATGGATGTCCCTCATGAATCCATAAAAGAATTATTACTCACCTCGCTTGTCAGGGTATGGAATGTATGATTGAAGATCCAACCTTGGTCACACCCACGTACTGGGTATTTCTCATTTTCAGGTGTCACAGGGATATAACTAGCTGGTTTCTTTGCAGCAACCCAGCTGACATATGCACCCACAAGGTCTCCATCGTAGCGCTGGCACTGGCTGAAGGACAATAGAGAAGCGTCTGCAGTCCATGGCAGGTGTCCTGACACACAAATGGTACACTCAATAACGTTTCTTCATAAATAAATTTGTCTAAAAGCCACTTGATTCACTCTGGAGCTAGGTGATCCATGCTCAGAATGTTAACCAAATCGTAAAAATACAGCAAGTTTTCTAGAATGCAGCAGTGAAGAAAACTTAGCACTACACGCCAACCTAGCATGACAGGAATATATAATTATTCTGTCAGGACGGCCGTAATTATGGTGGCAGCAACAACCCCTGAAACGCTAGTAAACTTCTATCAGTTTACACGGCGCTACAACCCAGACGACAGCCATCTTCATATTCGCCGCTGCGAGAACTTGAAATTTCACAGATTACTATTATTCAACAGACTGCTAAGGTCAAACTACACGTGTTACCAACTGCTGCCCTAAGTTTCGATTGTAATTCCGTGTGCACTTGCAAGTATATGTGGATTAAAACGTTTCGGGGGTACATACTGAATCCATCTTCAGGGCTAACACGCGAAAACATTGAGGTCATGAACTGACCTGTTGGTACTACTGGTATACTGAATTTCTTGGTATTCTCGCGTGTTAATGGTAGCTGTTCTTCAAGAGCTGCAACGTCGGAGTTCCAACACCAGTGATCGGGTGTCACTAAAGAAAATAGCTGTGTAGCCAACGATAGAGCACAAAGTCCATTTATTGTACCTACTACCACAACACACAAAATTTTTTGATATATTCCAAATCCTCCAATTTTCTGCAGGAATCCTCCTTCCACATCGACATTTACTGCCGAATCCATACTTGATGGTTACGGATAAGACAGAGAGCCAAGGCGTTTTATAGTCCTCAAATTGTGTAATAGCAACGCATGCAGCTGTCTTGCTGTCACATTGGCGTCGATTTCATGTGGAAAACGCAAAAGCGGCTTCTGATTACGTCACGGAGATGACTAGTTAATTAGAGTGCTTAATTGGGCGAACGTATCGTGATAATAGCCGTTACTAAAACTATTGCAGTGGCGACTGTTTCAAGTTCAGCTGTGGGCAGAAGGAACATTGTCAAGGATGATGACAAAGGTACAGCAGCGTCGTTGTGAAAAATGGAGCATCATACTGTAGACTAATATACAAGTAACCATTCATCCGAATGTAAAATACGATAAATTCCCTTAGTTTGATAATGAATTAAACAGAATTTATCAGGGCTTGCGTGTATAGCACTTCATTCTGAAAGTAGTACTCGTGTATTTCGTTATCAAAAATTCCTTAAGGATTCTTGAACACGTTAGAAAAATAGGCCAGTAGCAGCAACTCGACATATTAATACGGTTTCTCACATAATGTATATCGGTTTTGTGTTAATGTTTTTGCTCATAAGGCGTGAAGGCCAGTTGAAAGGTCTTCAATGTCATTTTTTAATTGCACTGGTTTGACTCATCGGTAGAGAGCCCGATTTTGTTCGGGAGGTATCCGCTTAGAAACTCTACTAGGACGACCGTTTTCCTTGGGATTCGCGTGGTTATCCTTATTTATTACAGACAAATTCCGGCGGAATAATGCATTGAAAGAAAATAATTCATCACTCATAATCATTCTCACTTTTGATTATAATTTAAGCAGCGGAATGCTGTTAAATAATTATAATTCATCAAAACAAGTATATCACTACGATTTAAATCACATTCTAGTTACATCAAATATTGTTACTGTGTACTATTTTGTTTAAAATGACAAAGCAAACCCGACTGTTTGATTCGCTTTTGAAAGGCCCCAGTATCAAAATTAACTTGTTCTGATAATTATAAATTACAACGTAAAAAGGAAGAAACAATCGCAAATATTATGTCCTAATTTTCTAAGTATATGATAAATATACGTATTATTGAATAATTATAATCCAGTTCCTCCACTGTGTTAAAGAGATGAAGGAAATAATTTTTGTACACTATTATCCAGTAATATCAGTCTCTTACAAATGAAAATCCTAATTCGTTCTTTACAGATGCCGGTACCATTTAAAGGATTCTCTCAAAACTTTCGATCATTTTGAGTTCAAGTTTGGTTGTCCTGTTAATGTGGAACAGCCGGAAGCATCTCGTTGATAAATGTTCCGAGTGACCACGCTATGCACAATACAAAAGCAAACACGCTAGCATCAACAAGACACTACAAAGACCTTAATTGCAGTAGGAGACGTCATTACTTAAACTTGTTAACACATTCCACTTCGCCCTTACTTAAATTCTTGAACCCTGTTAATCCCATCAATTGAATACAGTTCAGCCTAGTTCTGTTTTATCACAAAATATGGGCATTTTTAGGTGCTGCCCTCATACATTTGTTTAAAATCTTCATTCTGCCCCAAATGATATCCAATAACGTTATGAATTCCTAAATTGTTATTACATTTCAGCTATCGCATGACGACCTACATTTCGCCGTATGACAGTACCATTTTTGTAAACCTGAGGGAAGTGTACATTTTTACATTCTCGTGAGGAATTTAAAAAATTCATTCATGCCGACAAATAAATATGGGGCAGAAATTATGCTGGATGATGGTCTAAAGAGAGGATAGAAACATGTAGGCAAAAAGTCTGCATTTTGTCGACAGACGAAACACAATTTTATTAAAAACAATTAATCGTTGCCCAAGAAGGAAAAAGATTGTCCGCATTATCTGTAAATTCAAAAACGTTCAATGAATAAAGACATGGGGCGGTCGAATAGCAGCTACCTTTATTACCAACTGAGAAAAGTTACTGATCTCCACCAAGGAAAGATGGCGGAACGTGTGAAATTAAGTTTCAGCCAATAATGGGTTGCAACTCTGTATTGGATCCACGACGGTACTCTATAAAAAGCTTGTAAAGTAGTTGGCAGCTCTGTGTCAACTTATATTATTGTTGATTTGTGTGACGAATTTGTATGAAAACATCGGAAAATGCAGTGTGAATAGCTGCAGGTAATTCCACACAATTAATAGTAGAAAATAAATTACAATTTAATTGACATACAACACACGGTTTTAAAAAGCAATGGAGAGATGAGAAAATACATACACTGTTTTGGTAAGAAAACCCGATGGAAGGGCACTTGGAAAACCTAGACGTAGATGGGAGAACAATATTAAAATGAACCAGAAGAAAATGGGGTTTGAGGTTTGGTCTGGAGTCATCTGGTTTTGGATGGGGTCCAATGTCTCTTGTGAACACAGTAATGAACCTTCAGGTTCCATTAACGGTGGGAAATTCTTCACTAGCTGAGCTACCGTTTACTACTCAAGGACCCAAATTCAATTTTTTCTCTTCAATGTTGTGGTGTGTAACATGATGCTCTTGTGCAATTTTCTTATGTTTATTACAATAACCCCATTATTCCTGATATCACATAGGTAAGAAATGTTTGTTCCCATTTGTCAGTATGAAAATACCTTGTCTCCCTGCTTTTGCATTTAAATCTGGAGGTTATCATATCCAGAATATAAGAACAAGATACAGATACAACCTTCATGTGCCAAATTCTAACCTCAGTAAATATAAAAAAGGAGTTTACTATGCTAGAGTTAAGTTATTCAGTAATCTTCCACCTACTATCAAAAGTGTAAATCACTATATAAAAGTGATTAAGCCAGCATTAAAAGAGTATCTCCAAAGACTCCATTCTGCTGTTTGTTTATTTAATGACCATTTCTCAACTGTATGTGTTATAATTTTGTCATCAATAACAACTTGATCTTTAATTACACTCTTCGTTGGGTCAGATATTTGGAAGTTGCTGTACCACAAGGTAGTATGTTGCATGCAAATTTCACAGTCTCATACTTGTTGGTTTTAGTTGGGCTGTTCAGTGTCATGTTGCAGAACACTGCCTTATGTTTAGTGATGACTTTTCCACTCCTGTTTTTAAATGGAAAATTGCAAAGGTCAAAGAGCAACAAGTTGATCAGAATGTAATTCCCTCTGCTGCAGTACACTATGCAGTTTAATGAAGCAAACCCATTGGCAGCATCGTGCTTGGGAATTGCTGCTCGAGTGGGGAATGAGAAAGCTGTTCAGAAATTGTTGAAGGGTGGTCGACACGTGAATATTGGGGATAACCGAGGTTGGACACCCCTTCACGAGGCTGCAGCAGCAAGTAACATTGGTTGCCTCCATTTGCTGCTTAAGAAAGGTACTATTCATATAGCCGTGTTGTGCACTTAAATAATGTTTCAGAACACTCTGTATTTCAAATCCTCAGTGATTAATACAGCTGTAAGTTTGCAGTTTGCTTGATACAACCACTGAAATCTAATTGTTGTAGCAGATTCAAGGATTTCTGCTGGATAAGACTAATAGCTGAAACTTTTGTCAGATGACGGTAGAGGATGCAGAAACCAGTTTTCATCTTCTCTTAGCCAGGCACACCATTTCACTCTGACAGGTCACACTGCCAATTGGTCATACTACTCTTTGAGGTGGTGTTACTATAAACAATGTAACAGGAGTTTTTGTTTGTTGTCACATTATGTAAAGAGGAACAGAAGTCTCTTCTGATAATGTACATGTTTAAATGACCTGCTCATGCGAGTAGCTGAACTCAGAATGACTAATGTCATTACAGAGCAGTTACTAGTGACACAGTCTCACCCAAGTTCCTTTACTGTATAGTGTGTGTCTGGCAAACACAGCCTGCCCCCTTTATTGCTAGCTGACACCCCACCTTTTAACACACATTACAGTAAATATGTTTAGAAACAAGTACACAGAAAATTACAAAATAACATTTCAGATTATTCAAATTCTGTAATAGGTATAAGAGTTCCTATGTTAAATTCAACATAGAATTACCTAATATAATGAGGGCTTCAGAAATATGTGCATGCTCACCCACTACTCACCATAGGCAAGTTAGGATAGGCTGATGGTGTTTGGTCTTGGTCCCTGGGCATTAAAATTTCATAAACAGATGACTGATCATGTGTAAAATATAGAAAGCTAAGTGACAAATGTTACTTTTGTTCCCTGATGTTAATTATTAACAGTAAATGTTGAAACTAGAGGAGTAGATTTTTTGAGTGGTTAGTAATTGTAAGTTATGTTTCTGGAATCCTGAATATAGGTAGGGGTTATTTATGGAATGACAGATAATCCATATAAAGTGGAATCATCTTAGGAAGAACAAAATAATTTCTATAATGAATAATTGCAACATTATTGCAGGTCGTCGGTATGTGAATCAGAGGACTATGGAAGGAGAGACACCACTGTTGTTGGCATGCATGCATCAAGATAGCATGGAACTTGTATGCATGTTGCTTAATCATGGTGCAGATGTTAAACTGGGGAATAATGAAAATCATACACCACTCCATGAAGGTACAGTAGTAGTCATTGTTCAAGTATTAAAATATACATGAATGAAAATTTTATCATTTATGTATTTTACATTAAGTGCATGAAATGAAAACATTGTTATGTGCAAGGTAATGTTAACAGCACCACGACTCAGAGTAGACAGTGTGACAACTATGGTGTTGAAGGAATTGGAAAAGTGAAATGGGGACCGTTCAGCGTTCATGTTCTGTATTGCAACAGAATCATTTGGCACAAGAAGCACTAAGCCAACTGTATCTTGGATTAGCTGCACACTGATTGGTGCACTACCAATGACATGTTCATTTTTTAAAGTGTGACCTGGTACTGTTTAATTTATACCTTATTTAATATTCATTTCTCCATATTTAATATTTGATTTTTCTAATTTTAATTGGAAGTATGTTCTTAAATTTTGAAATTTCTATACAGTGATCATTATCACACTTGGCACCTCTGTATATTAATTTCTGTGTTCACAAGTACCTACTGTTGGACCCCATCTACAGCTACTAGAATCCATACGATCACCATACAGGTAAAATTATATCTTTGCTGCTGCATGACATAATTATAAAGTTTTGTTATGTTTTCCAGTCTGTAAAAATGGAAAATTCCAGCTGGCAAAAATATTAATTGAAGCTCGAGCCAACTTGAATGAGAAAAACTACAACGATATGACTCCACTGCATTTTGCAGTGTCTTCAGTAAGTATACTCTGCATATACTTCAAGAATTTGTACACACTGAGAACTGCATGTTACATTATTGCATACATGCACTTTGTCATCACAATAATGCCTCCTGATGCAAGTCATGTTTAAATTATTGTTACCATTTACCATCTGCTTGAAAAAGTAGAAATATCAATATTAAAAATGAATCTCAGCCACATTCAGTTATGATGTTAAGTATTAGCAGCTCCTGGGCAGATGTGACAAAATTATGGAGGAATTAATTTCAGACATTATTCTGATAAATGTGCTGATAGTAAATCTATAGTTACTAGTGAAAATACTTTGTAATAGTGAGTGTTTTATTTAGTAGTAAAAGACTGTTTTTTTATAACTATATGGTGGACCTGATGCAAAGAAAAGAAAGGTTATGTTTTAATAACAACCATAAGACCCATATAAAGTGGAGATGTCATAGGAAGAAGAATGTTTTGATAATAATGATCAAATACTGGTGATGGTATAAGTGTAAATAATTCTCATTTTTTCCTGAACATATTTCTGTATTCCAGTCTTTAATTGTTCAGGTGTGTGGATTAGTTTAAAAGTCTTGACTGTGTGAAATGCTATGTTTCTTAAAAATTTTGGTGGGAGAAAGAGGTGGAGTTTTAACTAAGTAGCCAGTCTTCAGAGTGTTTAGAGCAATTTGTTTTTAAGACACATATGTAGTTTTATATTTATATTATTTTCTTATTTGAGGAAAATGCGACACTGGTAAATTACCTTATCAGTAAAGGGGCTGATGTCAGTATTCAGGATGAAGTTGGTCGAACTCCATTGTTCTTGGCCTCAGAACTGGGGAACTGGAATGTGGCAGAGCCTATTGTAACTGCATGCCAGTCTGTGGACACACGGTTTGTGAAAAGTATTTCTTAAGTGTAACATCAGTAACTGTTTCTTTTATATTTTGGAACCTGAAGGTTTGCTATTTCGGCATTGTCTTGAGCCACTTTGCTGAACATTTTAATACTGTCCTTCCATTCAAGTTATAGTTCCCACTGTCTTTTAATATGCCCTCATAGAAATGTTACCCACTTTTTGTTTTACCCAACATGCAAATTCAGCCCATTTTAACCTTCCTTAACTACTGTCCTAGGTTAAGATATGTTTCACACCTACAGAGAACACTAAAATTTGTATCTTGTTCGAATATCAACCATGGTTTTACATGGACTCTCTGTCTCTCCAGGTGGATGCCAAGCTAGTAACTTAAAAGCAGATATTGCTGTATCCTTCCAGATCCTTCACCATTCTTTATTCACAGTCATCTTCCCATTTGGCACTATATAACCTGTTCTCTTGGAAAGCACTGTTAAAACAAACCAAAAGTGCTCCATTGTGCTTGGTTTAAGACCTTTGGTTTTAAATTTATTCTGTTTTATGTTCTACTCTGTCAGCTGTACTACCTGCAGCCACAGTTACCTGGGTCTTTAAACACAGCTGAAACATGAACAAGCAACACTGAAGATCTTCTATACACATGCTTCTTCCTATGTTTCTTTACAATTTAATACATGATGCATCCTACCTCATTGTAAATACACGTGGTTTAGAGGCAATAAAATATTTTATCTTTTTTAAAAAATGTAGTTTAAAAAAACAGATAAACCATGTAATGTTTGATTCAATAACTTTCCTTTAGCTTTTATATTTTTATATTTCATAACACACATTGAAAGTCATGTTTCCAGTAACACCCAGTGTTGTGTGGTAATCACCCTGTTTCTTGAATGTTATATGTTATAAAATGAAAGACCAAAACATGTTGCTGTAATATGTAAAATTGTTTAAATAAATTATTGTTGTGTGTGATGGTAAACTACAATTTATATTACATATATTTCAGTAAGAAACACCCAAAACAGGATACTTGAATATAATATTGTTGGAGAGAATGAATCAAAAGAATCTTGCAGTGGTTGACCATAAATGTGTACAAAATTAACCAAACTGATGAATTAGTAAGAAGTGACAGTTGTTACAAACACATGTACCATCTGCCTGCCTTGCCTTGGAAAGGTAAAGCCTAAAACGATTTACAAGGTCAAAACTTTTCAGTAACAATAAGATGCAGTGGCAGAAGAAGAGTATTTGAAGGTCAATAAATACATTAAAGAAAGCAGTTTTCATTGTTTTTCTTGGTTATTTTACTTTTTCATCCCTCACAATCCATTGTGCTTGGACAGTAGCTTTCTGCAGATAGAATTACTACACAGAAAATGATACAGATAAACATGTTTTATATTTTGTGTCCACTGTGGTCAGACTTTTGTTTCACTTTGTACATTTTCTTTTGCAATGGAACTGATATCTTAGCTATACAACATACAGGGCAGTGGATGGAGCTACAGCACTTATGCTTGCTGCCCAGCATGGGAACTTGAAACTAGTAGAAGAACTACTGGAAAAGGGTGCTAATCCAAATGTGGCAGCTAATGATCACACTACAGCCCTCCATCTTGCCATACATTCAGGACATCTAAGGTAGGCACATTTCATATTTAAAACTACTCAGTAGACTGCAGTGAAATGTTGTGTTTGAGATCTACACTAAAAATTGTTGGGTGAATGTAATTTGGTTCATATCAGCCAGATATAACCACTACTTCACATAGTTTCCAAATCAAATTTCACCTTTTTCTAAAAAATTTATTCACTTACATAAAAAAGGTACATTATATAAAATACAGATCTCATTAAGATCCTCAAATTTGATCTGAAATATTTTGATATGATGAATATTGAATTAAAAAATCTGATTATGTAGTGTCTATAGGTTTTTAACTCCAACATTATATTTGTATCTGCCTTAAATGAAAGTCAAGACCAATGATTGTACTATCAAATATGAATTTACAAGATAAAGTAGAACCACTGCAGGTTTTAATGTTCACAAATTTCCAAATATTCGTGTAAGATTTGAGGTTTTCGCAGCGGTAAGTATGAAGATTTCTGTCTTCTGGGTTGTTGTGCCGTGTAGTATGGTAGATGTTTACCAACGTTTCAGAGGTCATACTGCCTCCGTCATCAGAGCAATGAATGTGCCAAATGGGTGGAGGAGGCCAGGTTTATAGGAACAGGACAGTGAGTGGAGTGGCCCATCCCTAGCCACTGGGAGCAGGTGTCAAATCAGGTGTGGGTGGGGACTAATAAGAGCATGTGGGCATGTGTGAGAGAGGTGGAGAGAAGGGAAAAGAGAGAGGGTTCGAAGCACAGCCCTTGTGAGGGCCTCAGAGAGTGTCTGGTGGGATCTCGGGAGTTGGGCGGAGGGTGTGCTGGGGCCCTGAAAAGGGCCAAATCATTGAAGGTTTTGTGGGTAATCAGCTTCAATATTCACATATGGTATATCCTCTTGATTATTTTTTGCATGTTGATTGATTATGATGAGTGTGTTTTCTTCACTAGTCCCTCATACCTATGTTATTTGTTGACTGAATAGTACTATTTTACATGTGTATTTTAATGTTCCAGTATTGTGAAGTTGCTTCTAAAAGTCACAAGCAGAGATTCGTTGTTTCACCAGTGCACACATCCTAATGCAGATGTAAGTCGCAGTCTGTGTTGCCTTGCAATTGATAGTGGATGGTAAGTCATTCGGAAAAACGTTTTCTCTTGTCTCTCTCTCTCTTCCATTTTGAAGTACATAAACACATAATGAAGATGTCATGTCTGTCTACATGTGTCATCTCTGAAACTCCTTTCTACCCCTTCATCATTTTCACTTTTCTGTATTTGACAGGCCATCCACTACCTTTCCAGTTAATTATTCACAGACATTTCTTGCCTTTCAGTGCTATTACTTAATCTAAGAAAAAGTATTGTTAAATAATCCAAGAATCAATTATTGAACATTGTCATTGGTGTGTTATGGTTCATAGCTTGGATGTATTGAAGATACTGCTGTCAAGTGACCTGGGAAATGAAATTCTGCATCTTCCAGTATGCTATGATGCAACCCCAAAAAGCCAGCCACGCCTTGAGCTGCTTTACTCTGAATGTTCACCAGTCAGTTTCCTGCTGTCTACCAAGATGGACGAGTTAAAAGATGACATCATTGTATACCTTGATCTGCTTCTCAGTCATGGTAATTGTCACAACCTGCAAAAATCTTTCATCTTAGTTTTATTTCTGCAAATTATGTTATTGGCTACAGGTGTTCTTATGCATTATCTTCACAGTCCATTTACAAAGAGAAAAAGAAGTCACAGTATTTGGTCACATGCTACTAATGACAAGTCAGTAACTGAAATTAATAATTGTCAGGGGCATGACATAGCTCTGTCTCTCCCTTCATCCTATGGCTGTGTTTGGTCCATCTCCCAGCCCAAATACTATATAAATCATCCACTTCCTAACAATCCTCATTTCAGCCCTGAAGATGGAGGCACTATGTTCTGCCAAAATGCTACAATGCACAACAACCCAGAAGAGTGCCATCTATATTTGCATTGTTGTCAAAACTTAATTCTACAGATTACATACAGTCTGAAGTCCATATTTTGCTGTATCATATTTGTATCTTTTGGAACATCTTTGTTCTGTAGGTTTCCCAGTAAATGTTACAAAAAGACAGTCCCTGCCACCATTAGTTGCTGCCATGTTGGAGCCCTCACATAAGCATCTCTCATCTCACTGTGTGGATATGCTTTTGGCTCATGGAGCTGATATTGACTATACCACAACGTAAGTTACTGTGTTATACATATTTTTCATTTTCTGTTTTCCATTGTTTTTCCACATGTGCCTCGATATAACTAGAAACAAGTATAAGGTATAGTAAACTTGGTGTGGGCCTGTCTGCACCAGCCACTGTAATCTCTCTATAGATTGTGTCCATGTTTTTAGTGCTCATGTTGCAACAGGTCTGGTGATATCTAAAGAGAGTGATGTCTTATGAAATTCTCCTATGCATAAAGCAATCTGATTCAGCTGCAATACTGCCCAAGATGAAACAACTTTCTTCAGTGGATACAAGAAGTTTGGTGATTTGTGTTTGCAGCTGTGCCAGAGTTCCTGACCCTCTTCTAGCAGCATGTGTGTCAGGTCATTGCTCTGGGGTACTGCAGTTGTTACGCGCTGGCAGCAATGGTTTGCCAGATGATTTGTTAAGACGGCTTGTGATGCATGACCATCTGGATCCACCAACCCCCATGTTAATAAATGTGGTCCTGCTTCTGCTAAAGCTTGGCATCACGGAGCCTGATCTGTATTGCAAGCTGCAACAGTACTTCCCTGAGACCAGCAGTAATATTCAAATAAAGGCTGTTGCTGAATTATTGGGTAATTATAAAAGGTGTTATGAAGACCACATGTGTAGAATATTTTAAAGTTGCTTGAGCCCCTGAATATTTTATACAAACTACTGCTCACATTCTCCATAACTTCAGTATTTTCAAGTAAAAATACAGATGTCATAGTTCTCCAGAATTTAATTAATCATGCCTTATGTATCTCTTAAACTGTCAATTGGGCTGAAATTGGATGGAAATTCAGGTGGAAATAATTTCAATTTTGTAAACAATCCTTGAAATTTGGCAGTACATAGCCTGGATCTCATGCACATGCCCTAGATATTTTTCATAAGGTATGAAGATTACAGATTTCCAGGTGGTTTCCCTTCAAGCTTTGTATTCACTTCATGTTTATCACATCCAGTCTGTAATGCCAGGATACCATAATCCCCTAATTGCCTAAATGTATTAACTGAATTTCTTCACTGTTATTGTGTATAACAGCACATCAAAATTTGAGAAAGCTTACTCATCTCTTGTTCCTATTTCACAGCTCCAGTTCAGATGTGTTCTCTTCAGCAATTGTGTCGAGTAGCAGTGAGGCGGTGCCTTAGTCAACCATTAAGCCAGGCATTGAAACAACTCCCAGTGCCTCACTGTATAAAGAACTACCTAACATATGAAACATTGTAAAGAAATTAAATTGTTGAAAGTTTCTTTAACCCTGTAACTCCATGTGCTTTTCCTGTATGTTATGTATGAGGCAATAAGAAAACCACTCCATTATTTATTCCAATACAGTTCCATAGAACAGAATAAAAAAACTTCTATACAAGGAATCTAAATGATAATAAATGTCAGGTTTTGACTTTAAAATTTATAAAATATTTGGGGGAGGGTGAGAACCAGTAAAGCATATCCTCTTCTGAGTTGATTTATTTACATTTTATTCATGCTGTATGCAGATTTTTTATTAGTTGTTTATTTGGTTATTTTTTAATCTGTTTACTTTTTTATTTTAAGACAGTGATGATCTTTGGGATGTTCTGTCTGTAGTTGGGAAGAAATTGTTCAAACTTGAAATAACACTAATTGTTTCAGTTGTTTCTGTTTTGTAGTAAGAAACTGGCTAATGTTTCTCAACGCGTGATGGATTTAAAGGAACATGCACATTATGAATAAATATAGGTATCAACTTAAGTTTAGTATTTTAAGTCTAAAACTGAGTAGGCACCTCTAACAGATGTTCTGGTATAAATAAATGTCTATAAACAAACTGGCTTACTGAATACCCAATATGCACCTAAACCTATATTTAGTTCAATATTAGAATCTATTTTGCCACTGACCAAACTAAACTGTAACTACAATATATAATTCCATAGACCAGAGTCCTTCCTGTGAAATCTGTATTCGCTGCTAATAAAAAAATTTACTGCCTTTTATGGAACCCAAAGCTTCATTACCATGTTAACAAGAGCCCACCAACAGTTTCTATCCTGAACCAGATAAATGCAGTCAACACCCTCCCTCCCTAAGATCTATTTTAATATTACCCTACTATCTATGCCTAGGTCGTCCCTTCCCCGAAAGCTTTCCAACCAAAATGATGTTCGCACGTTTCATCTCCCTGATCATCTTAATTTTTAGTGAAGATTATGAATTATGGAGCTCCTCATTATAGTCTGCTTCACCCTCTTGGCACTTCACCCCCCTCTTTTAATGACTGCCCTTCCCTTAATGTAAGGAGACAAAGGTTTCACACCCATAAATATTACTGTTAAATGTTAAATAAAAGTCATACAACAATGTAGTGCATCATATATAGAGTGGAAAGGATTCAGCAGTGTGCAGATCTATAAAATATATTCATTTGCACCCATTTTTTCCAGAATGTTACATCCTTAGGTTTTAGGTCTACAGAGTTCTAATATATGGTGTAAATGAGAGGTCTGTAACCAAGGTCTTCACCAATCTTCCTATTCTAATGTAAGACCTCATAAAGCACAATGCTTTCTATTATAGTAATTGAGTTACACTTATTATCTTTTCTGTGCCAAGGCTTAGGCAGTTCTCGGCACACATCAATGTGAGATGCCAACATAAACACACTGAACACATTTCCACAGCAACTATGGAAATAAACATGTAATAGTGACACAATATCCACAACTTGAGGTAACAATATTTGCAGCATGGAGATTCTCCACATTCAAATCAAGTTTCAGAAAATCTGCTTAATAATATGGTGCACCCTGGGCATCTTTGACAGCAAAAAGGTGAATAAAAATGACACACAACCCCACAGATGATTCTGTCTAGAGGTTGTATTTAGGTTAATGATATAAAATCAATGTACCTGTCATTAGAAAATAAATAAATATTATCTATGAGTGTCTATGACATAACATGTAAAAGTACTATTTTTTAATTGAAATACTACTCTCCCCTTCACCACACTAGAGATCAGATTATCTGCACTTTTCCATAAAAGCATGGCGCACCTCCTTAAAAACACTTTATATTTACCTTTATGAATATGTCGCGCATGTATTGAAGAATACTGATGATGATTATTTGCGTTTCAAGTAACAATTTGATGTATATAATATTGAAGGAAACACGACAAACACACACCCCCATCTTAAATGTTCCACTTGTCATGTGTTGACCAATTAAATTTCTTCTCTTCTATAAAATTTGTCAGAGAGTACACTATGGTTTGCATGTACGATCGTTTTTATTCTGATAACAAAAAGCGTTATTATCGTTGGTAATGAGTGAGATTATTAGTTCCAGGAAGTTTAACTGTTACATTGTACAGTTTAGCAATATGTAATACCGAAGAGTTTTAATTTAGATAAGTTAAATCTAACGACCACCACCCGAAATTGACGGGTAGCAACAAATTCAACTGCTAATGTCTTTTAATCAGCATATATTTATTGTAATTCTAACACCTATAAACAGCAGCAGAAAGTAAACTAATTATCATAAGAAGACTACGAGGTTGTCCAAACGGTTTCTGCTACTTAAATTAATGATTTCGTGTCTACGGTTTTTTCATCAGTTTACAAGTCACGCATGAGCATGTTCTATTGTACTCTAGTCATCGGTGATCAACTTTGGAGTATGATTATATTCTTTGACTTTGGAAATTGAGGTTATGTAAATCTCGGTATAAACTGTATATCGTGTACTGTACGTTACGACGAATTAATAACATTTTGGAAGTGTAATGACATCTTGGGCATCAAGAGTAAGAGCTGGAAAGATGATCTTGGTTGTTATCTTCGCAGTGCATATAGGAACTTATTATTTAAAACCACTATTAATTTCAGACAAAAATATATCTAAAAGTGATAGTAGTGAACACAAAAAGTAAAAGAACGTTCTTTTAACCATTGTCAGTTTATGTTGACACTTGCATTTACATTTCTGCCATGAAATTTACTGTATAAGCTAAGCACAATAATAAATAGCTTTTCTGTTAGCCACTGATTTAAAATATGCTTACAGTATTATACAAAATGTGAAAACATTAACTGTGGATATAAACATGCTGTTGTGACTAGAAAAGATGTAACATCATCATCCACATGAATTGGAAAATGGTTTAATGAAACCAGAGCTACAAAATTTGTTCAAATGTATTAAAAGTGAGTATTAGGGTCTCTTTGAAATATCTGGAAAGGGAAGTAATGAATTATTTCAATGATATATTTCATGTTTACCAAGTACCATCAACATTCCAGACAATGTGAATTATATATGAATGTACAAATTAAAATAATGACAAACTGATAACCCAATTTACATCTTATAAAAAAGCCAAATCTGCCCTGAAAGACACATACAATCCTTCAATCATTAATATTGAAATTAATATAAAAAGACAAACTGTATTGTTTGTGCTATAACATGGCTCAACAAGTACATCAGAAGCCAAACAAGCTTGACAGTAGCTTAGGATATGCAGAAACATAACTTGGTATGTATGCCCAAATCATTGTGTAGGGTCAACATCTTGCCAACTGGTGAGCCCCACTCCCCAAGCAAGACTTGGCTAATTCTGGATGAAGTTCTGCACACCTTTCACTGACAAGCCTGTCTGATTACTACTGCATGCCTAATTGTAATATTATGTAAAAGGCTAGTGCATTGAAACCTCATATTAAAAAGGAAGTTAATATGATTAGTAATTAAAGTGGACAGGTAACCCAACAGTCCTACTTTATACTGAGTTGAAGCACTGTCCTTGGATATCTGATTGAACCTCACTGCTTCACCAAATGACAGACTAGAGAAATTTTATAATGAAAAAAGGGTCTCAAATATAAGACCTGATATTATCCAACCCATAACCACTTCCTTTCAGTATGCATAAATCTTTCACCTGGCACTGCACATTACAGCTGAATGGTTAACACTCCTAATTGGCATCTGAAAGGTTCTGGGTTAAAATATCAGCACGGAGACCTGCCTTTAATTTTTCATGGTTTTCCTCCAAACAGATGCCTTGAACCAAAAATTAGACCACGACCAATTCCATATCCTTCATTAATAATCCTACATTTCAATGTTATACAGTGTGAACTACCAACAGCACTGATAAACCAACCCATAAGCACAGGTTAAGCTGCATTATTTTACATACAAGTAACCAGTGAGCAGTTACACTATGGTACTGTTCAAACACACACCTTAAGTTATTGCAATGTACCACATCAAATTATTTCCTTTCATTATCTGTCTTGTAAGCACAGAAGAGTACATCCTACAGAACATGGATGGGGTGTGTGTATACATGTGTGTTAGAACTAGGTCAGGTGAATTTTTTTTATTTTCCTATTTCCATAGTCAGAAAATGTATCTACATATAAATTCTGTAGGATACCTTAATAATACAGGATGTATTATACTTGTAATCAATGTAAATATGGCTTTTACATGTAATGGAATTAAATATGGTGCATAATAATGTGGAATAACAACCCAATAGCCAGACAGGTGGTTTTCCTGGATCATTGTCAGTAACAGCTTTATGGGAGTTAAAAACTACAATATGATCTCCATGGAAGAGGATCCTTCTTGAGAAGCTGAGTCACTTAGTTGGTATACAAGTCACCATATTTTATGGAATCTGAAGGCTTATTACCATGTTCAAATCAGCCCACTACTGGGGTAACACGATCACCCATGATTTTGTTGCCAGTATAAATGAGAGGGATAATTGAAAACCAACATATGGTGACAGAGGCTACTGATCTTGACATAACAGAAACAGTCTTTACTTTGAGTATTCAGTGTTAGGTCATATATGATGATGATGCAAGGAAGATGTAAGATGTCATTGATGGCTGTATCTTGCTTTATTTTGCCAAAGTCACTACATCTGTAATTGTAGAACACCATTTTTTATTCATGTGTTTTGAATTCAGATCACAAAATACCGAATTTTGTTTCATAGAGATTATAAGAACAAAATTTAAATTGTGCTAGGACAGCACCACTTGTACCAGAATTAATACAAATCCAAGTTATTGGAATGCATATAAAAATCAAGACCTGATAAATATTTTACTACAGCTATAACTCAGACTAAGAAATATAATTTATAATCACTGTATCTTGCTTTGTCATAAAATATATTGTCAAGTTGTCAGTTTATTGAAACATTCAAGGTAACAACACACTGCAGATTTATTCAAGTTGAAGGAGACAATGCACAACCATTGTGACCAATGCCAAGCCTGAGTTGCAACATACAATTTATTAAGAATATATGTCACTTCGTTTTGTACATATTACCATTGATAGTCTTGGTACCACTAGCTTCTTACACAGTTCAGTGCAAACAGCCTGATAACTGACTGGTCTTTTCAAAAACACTTAGGCTAGCTGAGTTATGTGATAGCATATGACATGCGTGAAAAGGAGTTAATGTACCATGTTTATATTCAAAAAGATTAGATACCTTATTAAAGCTATAACATGCTAATGTGGGTACAGAAGGAGTAGCAGTTCAATAGCACCTAGCACCTCGCAGTTTAGTTAGTTGAAAACCAAGTAAGGTCCACTAAACTTCCCAGAACAATGGCATCACCCTGACCTATTGTATCAACCTGGCATGAACACAATGGCTCACATTCCAATTTTTAGTGCAATGGCAGGGCACTGGAAATTTACATTTTAAATGAAGCTACTATGTCATTATTTTCACAAAATATTCATTCTTTCTTATTTAATATCTCCCATGCATCATCATCCCACTTGGAGTTCCAGTCATTCCCTTTGTCCTCAGCTAAATCAATTAACAAACCTTCTTTTGTACTCCCAGTTTTCTTCTTTCCTTTTCTTGTGGATGGCCCATTGCTAACACCCTGCAGAGAAGAATCTGAAGGCCAGCTGCCCCATTCATTAGAAGATTTTGGACTGCATGCTATCCTATGTCACACAAAAATGTATTAATATACCACATTTTTAATTTATCCATTTTATTATAGACCATTTCCTTCTGTGTTATTCTTTATAATATTCTCACAAGTTAACATCAGCATAAATAAATACCTATTTAGACCATTCAATTCCAGTCATACATGATTTTCTTGGAAAATATCCCAATGGCATATTAGAGAGAGACAGAAAATAGCAGCATGATCAAAATATTCTGTATACTTGCAAGTACAATGGAACCTCTTTTAACCGACCTATATGGGGGGGAACCATAGATCAGATGAGTGAGGGGAAGCCATTTTATTAGTTTATCACTTTACAGTACAGTAATATAACAAAATATGCACACTAATGCACAGTTTTTCACATGATGTACGCAGTATGGTGCCTCCACGCGGACTGAAAAATTATGTTGGCGGAATGGTCACACGTACCACGTGGGTCCCATTTACTGACTCTTGCCAGTAGAAACTGATCGCAACCGATCTGGTTGATATTTTGTTAATTAATGCAGAGTTGGACAATCGAGGGTCAGTCAACAGAGGTTTTACTGTATATAGGGTTTATTAGACACTGCTTAAAATAAGGCAATCCTGTGTGGTAGCAGAGAGAAACCTTAAAAATTTTCTGATATCCTAGATTCCTCTCGGCTTGCATTACATCAATTTATAAAGTACATCTGAACTAATGACTTATATTATGAAGCAATAAAGTTGTCTGTTCTTGCAGTACACACAGAGAACATAACAAAAAATCCACATAATATTTGTATATGGTCTTGAAATTAAATATTAATAAAACATATAAAACTATGTGGCATACCACATCTCACAACATTTCTCAAACCTGACATAAGATTAGATAAGTAATTAACTAACTAGCCGGCTTAGGGAACCCGAAGGTTTACCACTGAATTAACGAAAGCCCTCCATAGGTCCCTGTCCTGGGCCAATGAAATGCAGTCACCTTCAACTCATATCTCCCACAGATCCCATGTAATATTATCTTCCCATCTACGTCTAGGTCTCCCCAGTGGTATCTTCCCTTCAGGCTTCCCAACCAATACCCAATGCACACCTTTTGCCCCATCTGTGCATGCATCATGCCCTGCCCATCTTGCTCTTCTTGACTTAATCACCCTGACAATATTGGTGGAGTACAAATTTTCAAGCTCATCATTATGCAGTTTTCTCCATGCCCCATCCTCTTCTCTCCTAGGCCCAAATATCCTCCTCAACACCCTATTCTCAAACACCTACAATCTGTGTTTCTCACTCAGAGTGAGAGACCACGTTTTTCACCCATACAAAACAACAGGAAAAATTACTGTCTTGTATATTTTAATCTTCAGGATCTTAGAAATCAGATGGGAAGACAAAATATTTTGAACTGAGAAGTAGCAACCATTTTTGGAATTTAGTCTCCTCCTAACTTCTTCATGAATATAATTTTGATTTGTTATTGTTGTTCCCAAATATTTCAAGTAATTAAAATAGCAATTTTGAGATGCATAGAGCAATGAAGAATTTCAGAATAGCATTACATAATTTCAAACCTACTTGGAATTTTGCTGTTTCTCTTCAGAATTCCAATTTAGCCACTCCTCTACATCTCTTGAGGTTCCTTGGTTATCAGTAAGCAGTGGTGTGGCAATGTTATCCATTTTGTTTCTGTAATATCAAACACATTAATCTATCACTTATTTCTTAAACATAATTTAACAAGGACTATGCATTATTTGTCAAATGTGCATAATATAAAAGAAGAATATTCTGTTAGAAAAAATTAATACTAGGTATGTAAATGTAAATGCTATTTATCACTATAGAATGGAAAGCTCTGTACAGATTAAATGTGGCCACAATGTTACAAGTATGTGTATATGCACATGCATGCGCACACATAATTTCAGGATCCTACTAGTGCTGCTTCCACCTCCAAAGTTCTCATGCCCACTGTTTGTATTATTACTGGCAGAAATTAGCATGAATGAAGAATGGGTGGTCTTAAATGGTATGATATTTGCAGAAAGTTAGGAATCTATTCATTACAGAAATATTCTTTTATATACAGCACTTTTTAATTGATAAAATATATATTAAACAAAGCACGAAGTAGCATTCTACTTGTAATATCAAATTTCCATTATACTGGTAATACTAAACACAAGATGCTTATGGTTTTCATCAACAGGTCATGCCTGCTAATACCACTTTTAGTTTACAAGGATATTACCAATGTGGTAGAGGCATTTATGTTACCTTGGTGCATTACCCCCTTCTAATAGCAATGAAGACTTTTCAGTGGAAATACCATCAGAAGTATCTCCCTTTGTTGGAGAAGAAGCAGTGTTTGTTCCTGATAAATCTCTCCACCCTCTTCTGCCTATGTCTCCTACCTGTAACATAACAATTAATACATGCAACAACATACTTATACCTACATGATTTCCCAACTTCAGTTCTTTAACAAGTATGTTGCACAGTGTAAATTATGTGGAAGTGAAGTCCATCAAGTGCTTGCTGCACTTCAAATGGTTAAAGAAACAACATACAAAACATATTATTCTCTCAAATTTCTTTACACTTTCCTGGATACAGAATACTAATGAAGGTTTCACTGCCACAATTTTGGAATGTATAATAAAGAATAATTATAAGCAGTGCAGATAAATAATTTTACTTTAAAACACGAGAAAGACATACAATTCACTGCTGCTTGCCTAAATTATTACCATCCCCATTCTTGCACCCAAAACTCAAAATAAATTGCATGCAGGTCAGATACAAAGTGAGGTGGTGAATATCTGAATGGTTCATTCTAAGGAACCACATTAGTAACTATAATACAGAAAGAGGTCTTGATTATACTGAAATAACAAGACAACAAATGGCTGACATAAACAGTAATGTGCCAAAAGAAAAAAGTAGTTAAAAGTTCTTTGTATAGTGTTGGGTCCTATAAACAGTAATAACAGATTAATCAACAATTAGAATAAGAACAGAAAAGTAGGATGGCATACTTCTTAAAGCTCCACACATGACTGTAGTGTGGTTTGCTAAGTCCAATATATTAAACACATAACATTCTGTTACCTTCGTAGCAAGATTTGAGACCTGTGTACTGACATCTTCTAGCAGCGATCCTTCCTTCACCTGACAGAACAAAGCCATAAAATAATCATGCAGGACAAACTAAATGAATGCATAGGTAAAAAGTAAATCACAAATGTGAGAGTACCTCTACATAAAATTGCAGATCTTAATCTAATACAGAAACACACTGTTTATTTACAGTTTATTTAATGATGCTGTTAGTAGTTTAAACTAAGCAGCACTGAATGATGGGATGATTAATGAATAATGAACTGAAAAGGTTATAATGAAAATTAATGGTCAAATTTAAGATATACCAAAATTTGCGTAGAGGGACTGAGGAAAACCATGATAACCTCATAGTGGTAACCACTTGGACATAATATTCTGTATAATACTGTTTATACTAAAGGATTAACATTCATGCAATAATGATCACAAAAGTGTACAAAACATTTGATATTTGTAACATTAAATATCTAAGAAACAAAATTCACAGATTTACATTTCAAAGTGAACTCAATATAATCCACCGACTCAACTTCACACTCACCTTACTAGCAAGCATGAGGCAAGGACAAAGTATGCACCTCTGTACGTTTAAGTTCTACTAGATTTCAACCGAATGACATGGCTACACAATGTTCTTTGATGTTGTAACCAGCAACATATATAAGCATCCCACCTCATTATTTAAAGCTATTTCTGAGCAAACCGTGTCAAATATATATAAAAATAACTCTCGTAACGAGTAGTTTGGGAACCAACTGCAATGTGGAAAGAGTCTGCTTTGTTGTTAATATTAATGCATATTACGTTATTTTTATGTTGCTCATTATCACTGAACATTATTATTCTAACAAACAACAATTTTTTTACAATTTCATGTCTTGTGCTCCATGTGGAAGGTCTATTGAGATGATGATGCTATTGATAAAATTATGGCTAGATAAATTTTGGAAATGCTTGTCATTATTCAGTTTAAGAGTTACTATTATCCTGTCTGCTTTCCATAACACTAAACATGTGTCTTGAAATAACAGTTTTATTAGCTGCTTCCTATAACTGTGAAGCACAGTCTTCTATTTTATGGGAAAAAGTGCTTGGAACCAAAGAGACCAGACAAATATTTGTGGACAATATAGGATATTACATAATGAGGAACTTCATCAGTGACAGAGGTCACATAGTACTGTTAGGACAGTAAAATCAATATAGACAAAATAAATATATACAGAATCTTTGGTGGGAAACACCTTTCTCGGAAAATGGCTATTTGGAAGACTGGAGGATAACATGCTGCTGCCTACAGGTATCATGTCTAAGGAACAAACAGAAATGTTTCCTGAAGAAGCAACTGAAATTAAACGAAACAAAAGATCATTCCACAGCACTTACCTTTTCCCCAACAGAAACACTTATATCAGCTACCTTCTGAGATGCTATCCCTCCTATTTTAATGGCTCCTTCAGTTGCTTTGCTTGCTATTTTGGTTGCAGACACAGAAAACACTGACCAACCCTAAAAGCAAAACAAAGAACATCACATTTTACTGCAGTCAGTCAATGCCCTTCTACATGCACATAGCTCAGAAGTTTATTCTCATTTAACCTACAGACATATTAAAGCATGCACAGTGTTTGGCTACAGCACCACTTGAATTGTAAAAACAAGGCTGTGATAATTCTGGTTCAAAATAAGGTACCATCTCTAAACATTCTGGCAATAAAATTATAGTTTAAAAATTTAAAAAAAAATTACATACTCATAACCAATGCCAGGTACTGACACCAATTTGCAAAGTCAGTAAGAACTTTAGTCAATCAATACGAGCAATCATTTTTAATGCAACACCAAATGGAAAATGTGTGACATGGTCTAATTTCCACAAACAAATACATAATTTTTTAACTATTACCCTTAAACCTCCACATGATAATCAACAAGGACAGCCATTGGCAACTAAACAATAATTATTACTGTCACCCTTACCAAATTTAACCAAAATGAACAGGCACTGCTATTATCAGATTTCAGCTGGATCAAATTAGACACATTATTATAACACCAAACTGAGGTACGCGGGGATCATGGTGCCCCCTCCCCCAAATATATAAAAGCAATCAATGAATAGTAACCTATTAAAAATGTTTGATTATTGGAGTGGGATTTACATGAATTATCTTGTTTTTAATTCAGAGAAGTCAAAACATAATATTTATATCAACCATTACAATGTGAGGACACAACTAAGTTTCAAACAGGAATATCTAATTTATTTGTTAGTTTTCAGTCTGACACCATATAACTTTACTAAAAGACTCATAATTGTGACAAACATTAGAATGAGATTAATCTCTACACTGTGAACTTAAGACTGCAAGCAGCAGCCACTGAGTTTCTTTCAGCACAGATTATACTGAGGTGTAAGCCTAGCAATCAGACTCACACTTGCTAGAGAAGACACTGCACTGTCAAAGAACTCTTGGGAGGTGCTACGAGGGGGTGGATCCATTGTGTAGCCAAAGCCAGAATAACGTCCTCCCTGGTTTGGAGGAACATCGCTGAAAATTAATATGAAATAAAATAAAAAGCACAGTATTTTAAAAATTCTACACCATTCCAGAAAAGTAAATTTCAGAAGTACTATATTATACTGTGTACCAAATTGTGACACATTCTGGCTAAGAAACGAGAAAAGGAAGGTAAGTGATAGTTGAAGATTTTCAACAACAGAGTAATGAGAGGATGGACAGGCAGCCATGTATTGAAAACAAACTGTAAATAATGACTTACTCAGGTTTCAAAGCATTCTCATTCTGCTTGCGTGAGAAAAATGCTTCTTTTTGGTCTCTGAAATTCTGTTGTGCATCCAAGCTCTGATATCCCCCACCTGACTGATAGCTTCCAGAATCTGAATTGCTTTGATATAATCCATTGTCATTACCATAGCTATTACTTCCCATGCCTGAACTACTGTTATATCTATTCATCGAGCTACTGTCATAATTCTGTGCTGATGAAGTGGCTTCATTCCATTCATGTCCTTGTGCAAGAGTTGCAATCTGAAGACAGATCAATCAGAATAACAAATTAGCCTTAATAAATACAGATGTAAGATGTGAAGACATCAAATGTGAAAAAATACTGACAAACAAGGATATTACTATAAAATTTTTGCATGACAACCTCAAATACAGGCTGGTAAAATTCAATGAAACCACAGCATGAATTATTTGTCTCACCTTATCACGATATAATGCTGCTGCTTTTGTATTGTAGCGCTGTTGTAAGGACATAGTATCATCCCAATCTGGTTGAGATTCAAAGAACTCCCTAGCTTTCCTATTCCCACCAACCTAGAAAAAAAATGCAGTTTGTTAGAATAAATTTCTGATTCAAATCTAGTCTGATCACTTGGCTCACGTATTAAAGATGTACTGGGAAGGTATAATTCTAAGACACCATTCTCAAGCAATTGTCTGCAAAAAATCACATAAAAACAACAAAATGGATACCCAGACTTGATAATATTCTTAATCTCTCTCTCTCCCCCCCCCTCTCTCTCTCTCTCTCTATATATATATATATAAAAAGAAAGAGTGGTAAACCCTAACTAGTTAATTCTAGTAGTAGAATCTTTCAATGGCCTATACACAAAGGAAAAGATACTAGAACCTTCAAGGTTTAACACCGCTAATATAAAAGCCTGCAACTGGGCATAAGTCTATGTCAGTTACATCCACATACCTTATATCCCTAAGAGGAATTATAAGTGTGCACCTCACTTATGTGTGTTACAGTTTTGGTATAATTTACTTATGACAAACATTTGGTTAAAAATTGGCACACACACCTCTTAATAAGTACATTTAAATCATGAAGGTAATGAATAATTATTTCTCCCAATCACACATCTTAAACAGGTCTGTTAGACATCAACTGTTCACTCACCAAGGTATATTCCTATAAACTGGCAGTGGTATGAAAGAGGGAGATGCATATGCATCAGTCACTTAGAAGAGAATACACATCACAACAGGTAGAAGCTGCACACCACCACTGGGAATAAAACATGTGTATCACAAACAGATACACATGCAAGGGATACTGTTTCTAAAATTCCATAATATTACATGCTTCTGCCAGCGAAAAACAAGGTTTTTCTTGATTAGTATTATAAACTAAACCTTTAATTTAAGTGTGAAGGTTTCTGACAATGGTACATTATAACAAGCAAAACTGTTCTTTTGGACTTTGTCCATATCTTCTGGTAGAAGGGGGGGGGGGGGGGGGGGGAGAGTTAGTCCGTTAGTTTGATGGGACGCCTATCTGTTGAGCACCCTGGTTAAGCTAGCATCACACCTGGTCCAGGTCTGACGATGGAAGCAGAATCTACATTCCAATATGTTGTTTAATTATTTTATAACTTAATCACACAAAATTATAAAGAAAAATTTTATACATTAACTTTTAACATGAAGAGGTAATTTAAATCCCACATATTAAATTGGAACTCAGGGATTAACAGTTAAGAGACATGGTACTATGATGCCCAATCAGCAGGATACAATACATGTTAATATGGCTTAAATGTTTTTGGTAAAAGATGTCTCCACAAACACGAAGACAGAAGCTGTCACTGAGATTCAAATTGAGCTTTTTAAGTGATAGTTAAATTTAAAAATAAATACCTTCATTTTCTCAAGTTCAACATCCTTCCATTTATCCATACTAATGGATCGAACAAAGGATAAGTGTACACCAAGACCACGATGCTTCCCAGAACATTCAAGGCAAATCCAGATACCATATGTGACAGAAGCCCATTGTGGATTGTGGGCATTGCATTCAAAGCATTTCTGTAAAGAATCAAGAAATGTATTTTATAATTGCAGCTGAACTAAAGGCCTAATATAAAATTAGATAATGAGCCTAACCATGGTACATGACATTACTAAGGCAGTATGTGCTAAAAATTTGTTTTGTTTATGATTGCCATATACATTTCATAATTTGTAAGTAGAAAGTACCCTCAAATATTAGAAAAGAAAACTTGTGCAGTTTCATCTCCAGAAGTGCACACTGCCACAATACATAATGCACTTTTCTTTGTAGATTCCCTTCCTACCATGATAAAGTAATATCTAGTGTTACTCATTTTAAGGAAAACAAGATTAAATCTGGAAACAAAAGGCCCACTACACCTAATTAATTGTTTTCTGTGGAATACTTTTTACATTGACAACAATCCTTAATGGCAGCCACTGAACAGGCAAGCTGTGCTCAAAGAGCAATCAAATAAATCAAGCATGAAGCACTGACAAAACATGTTTGCTCACCATGAAGGACAGTGCAATAATTATAGTAATTTCCATACAATTTAATTTGTTTTGGCAGAAAATGATAAATGGTGGCCAAATTATGCACATTAATCTTTGATAATATTTAGTGGTCAAGCTAAATATTATCCAACTTCAAAGAAGTAACAAACTGTTGAAAATTATAATTTAAGGCAGTTTAATACAATTAAATGGGACCGGTGCCAACCCAGCATCATGAGGAAGTTGGAGAGCTACAATGGGTAGCGTAATCCGGTCATGAAAACTAGCAATGGCTGGGGGTTTGTTGTGCTGACCACACGTCACCCTATATCTGGTTGGATGATCGTTCACCTCTGCTTAGGCATGTGAACGTGAGGCCGGCAGCCAGCTAGTAGGCTTTGGCTCTCAGAGGGCTGTCATGCCACGGATTTTCAATACAATTAAAACTTTCTTCAACAAACAGGCATAAGGAGGTTTGGAAGAATTAAAGCACTCTGAGTTAATCGTGAATTTTTTACCTAAGTTACATAATGCAGCATATTAACTGTAACTAGGTAAACTCCTTGGATATAAAAAACTTATATTTTCTTTAAATGTCAACGTTTCGAATCTCTCATCATGGCGAGCTAGGCGTACTGAGAGCTGTCAAATACAATCTGCTTGTACTCCACCCATTTCTTGTGTGAATTAAAATAATTGAAAATTATAAACAGAACTGCATCAGGCCTGATTATTTGATACGTACTTAATGTTCTTACCTTCGCGTACTTCCTGCACAACTAAATACTTACAAAATTGTCGTATGGTTTTAAATCCTGAAGGACTCGGCGAGTTCTTGGACTAGCCATTGTTTCTAATAGAGTATGGTTATTCTTTAACTTATGGAAACCCTATACTTCAAGCAACAGTTATCATATAACATTATACTAAGTATCAAAGACGAACTACCAATACTAAGTACTCAAACATATTAAAGTTCAAATCCATCTCCATACGTTACTGACGTGTCCACCCCCATATTGGCAAAGATTTCAAACAAAAGCACCATTCCAATCGGCCGGTAGTCTATGACTACTGGCAGCACAGGTTAACCCAGATGCATCTCCCATGGTATTGAGGAGAACGTAGCGCCATGATTATTGTTCTACGCCCTGTGAACGATTCACAAGTAAACACAAGGAGTACTGAATCAAAATTTACGACGTCCGATTGCATCGACCTGTTTCTTAATAACCCCTTGACAGCGTACGATCAATGTAAACAACTGAATCTGTACGTAGGGTTCATTCCGAGTCAAATAAATACTGCTCGTGTGCCCTTTTTCCATAATATTTTCTGACTACAGTTTTATTTTCTCTCCCATTTCTCCTCATCCTCGTATCACGTCACCCCTCCTCGATCCAAATATTCTCTACTGTGCCACGCTCACAAACAGTTTTTTGCCTAGGCACTGACGACCAAGTTTTATGCACATACAAAATAGGTACGGCCAAATTTAAATGTGCTAAGGATCTAAGCTATATTAAGCTTAAGAGACTTCGTAACAATTGAAACAAATGGTTGAACAAACAATTTCACTTCTAAGATGTATTACTTAAAAATTTGGGTCTTAAAAAAAGATTTACCTATTAGGTTCCTCATAATGTGACACCGAAGCTTGTTAAGGTTATATGTAAATCCACCATTACAACAGGTTCAAATATAAATTTGAGAAAGTTACCTGCAATCCAGGCAGAATTTGGTTTCGTATTTAATACCGTGTCTTCATAAAGATTATGCAATAAACAAATAGGATCTACAATGGATTCAAAACTACACGGAACACATTTGGAAACTATGTGTGTTCAACAATGGGACACAATGAAAATGAGAATATGAAACTAGACAAGACCAAGTGTGATGTGAAATAGTATTCCATACCTTTAACCCTATATGATACAATGAGCATGTATTTTTTCTTTAAAAAATAAAACCATGATAAAAAGTAAGGCCATTTATGAAAGTAACATTTAATCACTTACTTTCAGGATGTAACATTTATAGAAACATTTGTAGTATGCTTAGCCCATAATCATTTACTGCCAAGGCTGCTTTAGAAACAATGCATATATTAATGCAAAATAGGTGAACTAATTCTATAGTGTTCTGCAAATATGGGATTCTAGAGGTTGCAAAATGTGCATCAGAAAGATACTGGCACTCCAGGGAATACTCTGTTTATTCCCCCATGATCAAAGTATAGCACTTGCTTCTGTAAAACAAGCAACAATAATCTTTTATTTTACTTAAAATATATTTATGTAGTGAAGCCTTCCTCTATTTGACTGACTGGAGAACTTTTGTAGATATTTTGCTTCATACTCAGGTTACAAGGTGAGAATATGTTAATGCTGGCAGAAGTAATTTGTATCTTGACTGGACCACCGTATGGCACAAGGAGTTATATGTAGAATGGTAATAAATTCATATACAACTGACAAAGCAAATTATTCTTTACATGTGAATATGTCTGGAGAAGTTGGCTTGTTTAATTAAAATCACAATGTAAACATATACTGTTGTCTTTACATTTGCCTTCCATTTGCACACTGTTAGCAACTTCAGAGGACACCAGAACATACAATAAAACATAATTTTTATTCACATTTGAGTATCAGTCAGTAAAACACATCCGCACAGCATGTAGCTGGCCTTGATGTTCACTGCTGCTGGAATCTCCTCTTTTGTCACTCATAACTCATTTCACTTGGGAGAATCTCCTTTCTCCTTATGTTCATTTTCTTCATTATCATAAATGTAGGCTGCTTCATCTTCTTCTTCTTCATCATCATCATCTTCTTTTTTCATTGGGCAATTTAAACACCTAAATTATAATAAACAAAATGAGGTAAATTTCATATTGGTTTACCAGTTACTAAACAGGCAGACATAACTAAAGAAAATAATGAATACAGCAATATTATTAGTTCAGTACCAATAATTATTTTGCTACATTATATCAAGCTCTTTGGCTTCGAGAATATGACTTCTCTGTAAGCGTTATTTTCAGACAATGTGGTAGAATCAAAAAGTTTGTGAAATGTTTGAACAGACACCAACATATGAAATACTTGTGTAAGACTGCGCAAATATGCTATAACAGTATGCCTAAGATATTTCTGGTGTACACTCTCAAATCAATGTGTGTGTGTATGTGAAAGGCACAGGAGTTGGTATGGTTCAGTAAATATTGTTCTTCTTAGAACTCTGCACACCAGGATGGCACAGTCTGAAGAGCGAGCAAAAACTTAAGTTTTTATATGACTGAGCAAGACATGATATAGTCAGATAAATCTAAAAAGACAAAACCATGTAACTGTATGCAGTGTAAAAATTATTTAGGATTTTCAAGGATTGCCAACAACTGTAGGATGCCCTGTGGAAGGGAAGGCCAGCAAGAGCTCATAAAAATACCACTGCTTATGTTCAAGAGGTCATTGAGAGGACAAATGGCAAACAATTGATCAAGTTTCCAAAATTGTAAATGTATTGAGAAGATATATAAAATCATGAATACAAACAAAACTATTGGCACCAAGAGTCTTTTCAAACTGTAAATAGTTTTGTTTGTATGCATGATTTTATATATCAATACACTGCAAGGTATGACTGTAAACATTCTCACCTTTGGAATGTGGAAACATGCTCCTCCACCATGACAATGCACTACCTAATCAGTCTCTTTTTTTTGTACAGAAGTATCCGACATAGAGTGACTTCACTTTCTCTCTATTCTCAAGACACTGTCCCTACAAAATACTATCTGTTTCAAAGAATGAAATCCTTCTCGAAAGGGTACAGGTTCCAGTCAGCAGAAGAGGTGACAGACTGTGACTTAAAGGAGATATGCAGGTTCATAAGCTTTTTAACTTCATTGCACATGACTGATGTCTCTATGGTAAAATGGAATGCAATCTATAATCTATCTGGATGATGATGATGTTAACATTTCCCTTCAGTTATTTACTTTTCACCAACATATGCAGAAAAATGGTAGATAATTTAAAATGCAATAAAATAAAGTTAATGGACAATGTTCCTTTTGTACAGAATTCTTGCTCCCTGCTAATCATATCCTTGATCATGTCATACTGCAAAAGTAGCCTCCTACCTGCTCTCATCAATTCCAAAGTTGATGCAAGTCTCTCCAACGCACTCACAGCACCCATCATGAAACCATCTGTAGCTATGAGCCCCTGTTGATTTACACGACTCTTTGCACTTATTCCATGACATACACTGACTCAAATATGCAACTGTGCAGTTTAGTGTGACAACATCCTTCATTGGGGCCACCTCCTGTTCTGCACTCTCTGCAAAACCACACAACAGATATTGTTAGGATGACAAATACTGAAGTAAAAACATTTGTAATTTAATACAGTATTTTAATTTCCCAACAAGCTCTAGGTAAAAACATGGTAGTTCACTACATTGTTATGGAATTCAGTTTAAATTTTACAAATACAAACTGAATTCCATTACTGCTCATACAAAGAAAATTAATAACTTCTCTACCATGGATTGTCATCTTCTATCACCCTGACCAGCAAAGAATGTTGGAATACATGTTACACGGGGCAGAGAAACGCTGATATATTCACAGAAAAATTACAGCTGCAACAGATCTTAGATATTGGAATATCCTAAAGAAAGATAAGAAAATGAAATATGTTACATGTGGTAATGTCAAAAGATTCTGGGACAAAATAATCATTCTGAATCTGGTGAATCTAACACGTTTTTACACAAAGTTTCTACTGCCCCATAGCAGGTAAACAACGCACCAACATTAGTATATAGCCCTTCAGGGGATCATTCATCTGTAGAAATGGGTAAAAAATGCAGGTGTGAGATCATGAAAATTCTGTTCATGGGAAAGACAACAACATCCCCGCAAAATGCTGTTGCATACACAATAATCAACATGCAATGGAGTGTAATGCAGAAGATTCAGTCTTTGACCACCTCATTTTGAAATAATTAAGGTGGATTACTTCCCACATGCATATATGCACCTACTGCTGAATGTAAAACCCTCAAGAATAAACATGAGATTCAAGATGTCATGCCTATTAAAAAAGGTTTCCAATATCATCTTCCCTTTTGAATGACCTCACAAGATCTTTGCGGCTCTCAGTGACACACGACGGATATAGTCCAAAACAAAGAAAACAGCAGCTGGTAAATTTTCTATAGAAGAAGTAAATGCCATTTGGAACATGAATATAAAACATTTTTAAATCAGGGGCATTTTTAATGTGTTTCGATGAGCATAGTTCAATTCAACAAATAACTGAGGTAATCAGTTCATCATGGACTTGTTCAGTAAAGGCTACCAAGACTGTCACTTGAATCACAGTTAAAAGAATAGTAACTTACGAGTATAATACTTAAACTCTTTTTCCAACTTTGGCCGATAAGAGTCCATATAAAAGTCAACAGGAAAAGTGAAGGTGATCCACCGCTCTTGAGGGTCAGCATCAGACATGAGCGCAGAAAACAATGCTGGAACAGGATCAGTAAATCCTTCCACATGGCTTTTCTTTCCCAGAGAGCTGCCTGTGTCATTAGGCTTGGGGCACATGTCTGGAAAACAAGAAAACGTTACATGTAATATTAGCCATACTTTACACAGTATAT